TATAAGCATTTTGCAATTACCTAGATTTATAATTGAGCAGATAATGTTTTTTCAGTAACTGATTTTGCCTATTCGTTTTATGGAAGTAGGTACTAGGTACCTATTAAGAAGTTTGAATTGGAAGGTTGGCAAAGATTATCTCCAAACCCTGAAATTTGCTACAATAACCTAGGTTATTAGTATTTTTAGAATGAATTACCTAAATATTTATAAAATAGCGTTATTTTACGGCAATACAAAAGTGCTGCTTAACTCGTTTGAATTTTACAAAGCCGAAGTCATAGATATCTTATGCTAAAATGAGAGATGAAAGTCTCTTTTGCGTCATAACAAACCTATTCATGGTATACATGAAGGTTGCTTAAGTCGTACCGTCACGTAAGTCGTACCTCGGTCTTTTCTCTAACTTGAAGGCACTTTATGCAACTTAAAATGCTGTATTCGGACAGCATGAAATCATACTAGAAACATATTCTTTAATCAGTTCCCGCCGAATCAGAATTGAGAAGTTATGCGCAAAAATAGTTTTGCCCTCGTGCTCATTCAATTTCTCGTGGAGCTTGAAAGCATTGGTGGTCAGTAAAACACCACAAAATATGTGTTGCATGTTAAATATTGGTTATACATCTATTCATATATTGTTTTCTACATGGATTTTGTTAAATATTCCTTCTGATATAGGGGAAGGTAGCCTAAGTTGGACCAGCGCCTAAGTTGGACCACCACGATATCCGCGAACTGTTGAAGTTTTTGCAAAAATAGACAGGCCCCTTGTTTTACTCGTATTTATAAACAATTGATGTAACTATTTGCTAATTTTGAATACCTAAGTTAGTTAGTTATACCTACCAATAAGACTAAAAACAGGGTTTTAGTTGGACAGAGTTGTAAGTTGTAAGTTTATACATTGTAATGCTCATTTGCTCATGTGTTTAGAGTATAAATATGACTCCTTATTAGAGTAGGTAGGTAGGTACCTATATTGTAAATAAAATGATTTTTTACTTCCACCTTTAAAACACCACTTTTTCTATGGTTTTGAGACACAAAATGTGGTATTTTAAACACGGACGACCAACGCCGAATAAAGTACTTTAGTCACGGGGTAGATCGTGCTCCTTACCAACGCTGCAGCACCAGACCATATGAAATGCTATGCGCGGTCAGTCAAACAAATCAAAGCATGTGCTGATGTTGCTCGTGTCGGCGCGACACGGCATTTATATTCTTACATTTTCTAGTAGTGTGCGAGCGAATTTGAAAATTTAAAATACATAAACATACACGTTGAAATAAAGTGGAAGCAGAAAAAATTGAGAAAGCATCACGTGACTAAAAATTGTTAAACACTCAATGGAATAAACGCTTGCTTCGTTTGATTTTAATCAATCTAGTGACTAAAACTACCGTTTAGCCAATTGATACCATTACTTTGGATATGTGGGTATTTTTGTATCGGTACCGGGGCGGTACGCTTTAAAATACGGTTTGTTTTAATCGTTGTTTTGCAGAGTTTTGGAAAAATGTTTAAATCACCATGATTTATCAATAAATAATTAAAAACTCATATTAAATAGCCACTTTAATAGCCAATAAATAGTTGTAAATCATAATATCTGCGATATTAACGCCCAAGAAAGAGGGTAATGGGGGTCACTTAAGGGAGAACTCAAATATAATTTTAATTATAAACAAAATACTTATTGCAACCGCCTTTAAGCATTGTTTTCTTAAATAACTATTATTGGCCCCCCAGTGCCACCCCCGACAAATCATGCCAATCGACGCGTGTATCATTGAGATACGCCAGTGTTTTACTTTTGAGCTCCGCTGATCTAATTTTACGTCAACGCAAATTAGAAGATAAGTGTCGAATATCTTGCAATATTCGAATGAAACTTTTTGGGGAAGGTAGCCTAAGTTGGACCAGCGCCTAAGTTGGACCACCACGATATCCGCGAACTGTTGAAGTTTTTGCAAAAATAGACAGGCCCCTTGTTTTACTCGTATTATAAACAAATGATGCAACTATTTGAGTTAAAACTTGCCGCGTGCTTTCATCGTGACAACAACTTTGTGTATTCTTGATTATCAAATCTATTATAACGACGTAAGTGCATAAACTGTCAAGCTGTTTAAACGTTAGATTTCACAATTATTATTATATCATCAGAAAGCTTATTTATTTATCTATTATTTCTAGTATTAATTTGGAGAGGTTTTGTTATATTAAGATTGTCGTTGATCATTACATATAAATTCTTCAAGTTGCCCAAGTTGGACCGAAGACAGGCACCGGGGTTTTAACAGGGAAAACGTATATCATTTTTTCGACCTCCTAGAAAAGCTTGTGGACGAGCACAACTCTTCGAAATGATCCAGTGTATGAAATGCCGCACTTTGGTTTAAGTTTAAACAAAATGTGCTTGTGTTACTGCTAAAACTAAAATTTACTATTGTGTCAATTGCCGTTAAAAAAGCATAGTCCAATTTAGGAAACCGCGCGGTCCAATTTAGGAAACCGGTTTCTTAATTTGGACCAAAAACACAATTTTTTTAAATTGAAATTTGAGGGGTATAAATATAATTTTTATATTTGAAATATTTATTTATTATAATTTTACGTGATTTTTGGATTTTACAATTTGTATTTGAGTTGACATGTTTCGCCCAGAGGGCATCTTCATAAACGTATTACGTATTCGCCAAAGAAAGTAATAAATATAATTTTTACTTAAATCAAAAATATCATTTTGTAGGTAAGCCTTGTGAGTTACTTTTCCGCTACTTAATTTTTATTGAGAGTTTATATGTGGCTCTATAAATCAAAAAATATAAAAATGGTCCAAATATGGCTACTTTCCCCTATATAGTCTTAGTTAAACATTCAAAATCGTGATGTGCAGTTCAGATTGCATCAATGTTTTGAAGGAATTTTTTTTTGTTCTTTTACACAATAGTGTAATTGTGGGCAATGGGAGTCATGCGACTCCCAATGGACGTTTTTGTCTTTAGACCGCTCTAAATGGCCTACAAAAAACAATGTGACTTATTTTTCAATAGCCAGCTTGCAGAAAAGATACTCCAGGAAAGTAACGAAACTGTCGAATACAACCTTAGTAAGCCAAGTACATGGGATGAGCAACAAATAGCTGGTGAGGAGTGGTTTAAGACTTTTATGAAAAGAAATCCCGAGTTGTCAGTACGCGCTGCTGGGCTCATGAGCAATGCACTGACGGAGAACCCAGCTACGTATGCAATAATTGTGATTCCAACTAATTTTATTGTTGCACACATAGCAGGACATTTAAGTATAATTTTAAAAGTGTTTTCTTTATTGTAATAAATACGTTTATTGTAATAAATAAGTTTTATTTCCGTATGGTACAATCGACCCCACTCCCTGGTACAATCGGTTGAGGTCTGAGGTCGGTTGTACCATTTCTCCTCCACAACAAAATTTACATTTATGAAGGTAGTTGTAAACTTGAGGGATTAAAAATAAGGGCAAAACGTAACCAGATGATTAGGCATTAAACTATGACAAGCACCATTGGGCTAAGTAAAATCCTACTAAGCCTACAGGCATACATCTAAAAAATGGTACAACCGTACCCAGTCTACCCTACTAGCCTGATGAGAATAGGGAAGATAGTAGGTATAATTCAGTGCCGCAAATGCAAAATTTGGATGCATAGCAAATGTCCAAACGAGTTAAAAACTCTTTTGTACTATTTGCAAATAAATACATTATTATTAAACTAATAGGTATATATTCTCATTTTGATATTACTTTGGCATAGGTACGACTTAGGGTATCGATGGTACGACTTAGGGGACCGGTTTGTTAAGTCGTAGGTACCGTTCACACATTTTTTTAAATTGATGTTTTACAAGAATATAAACATTTCTGATGAGTTATTTTCATACAAATTAAAGCTATATTAACTAAAGCAGGTGAATATGTCAAAAAACTGACATTATGTTGCAAAACTTTCAATTTAGGGCCAATTGTATTTTTGGGGTACCTACGATTTAGCCAACCTTGCTTAAGTCGGCTACGGTTGCGCGCCAAAGATACTTTACTAGCGTGATGAGAATAGGGAAGATAGTATGATTCAGTGCCTCAAATGCAAAATTTGGATGCATGACAAATGTGTTGGGGTGTCCAACCGAGTAAAAAATTCCTTGCAAATAAATACATTATTATTAAACTAATATATATATTCTCATTTTAATATTAGGTACTTTGGCATAGGTACGACTTAGGGTACCAGTGTGTTAAGTCGTACCGTTCACACATTTTTTTTTAAATTGATGTTTTACAAGAATATAAACATTTCTGATTAATTATTCTCATACGAATTAAATCTATATTAACTTAAGCAGGTAAATAAGTCGAAAAACTGACATTATGTTGCAAAACTTTCAATCTAGGGCTAATTGAATTTTAGGGGTTCGACTTAGCCAACCTTCCCTATATAGACAAAAAACATCATAATTCCTCAAAAAGTGTTCATTTGTTATTAATTGCCAGATATTATAATACCTACAATTGGTAGGTATAATTTATTCTCCCATACTATAAGTAGGTAGTCTTCTATAAAACGCCAACTTCCAACTTATTTAATAATCCCGTAAATTATACCCACCATTACGTACACATAATTGTATATTAATTTATAAACAAAATATAATTTATAACAAAAACCTACGCAAATACAATACATTTACTATATATTCGATCACGAATAAACAACGCGTGCTTGCGCCGAAACACTCAAACCACGCTTCTTTCACTCTACGTTCGACCAATAGCCTATCAGGATCGCTAAGTCGCTTGCGCATTAAGCGAGACGATTGGTTAACTGAGCCGGGGAACCATTTTACGGTCGTAAATAGGATGTGCTCGGCGCGTTGCGGCCCACACGCTCCGTATGTGACTTAAGCCACACTTATATGCCCGCGCCGAACGGGGGGTACATTTCACGCGAGCAGAACGCTTCTGGTCAAATGGTTTCCGAGATTTGTCATGCATAGACGCGTCTGAAAACGAGCCTGAACCGCTGCCTTTTTTTACCTCAGCGCATCGCATCGCATCAAAAAGTGCGCGACATCCGCGACCGCTTAATTATACTATCGGCTAATGAATAATTCTGTGACGGTGTGACTAATGAACTTGCAGAGAGAGTGCCACGTTGTTTAACAACTTGATTTCATCTCATGATTGGTTTTGACATTAGACTTTTACAAATATGAATTCTGGTAAGTACCTACCTACCTATTACCTACACCTCCCTATACCTACTCAATTACGTATTTCTATAAATGTACGGATATACCTAAATATTTATATGTTTTTATTAAATCGAGTTGCGATTTAGTGCATCCATCCATTGGTCACTGTGATTTAAGTCGGAATATTCCATATAGAGAACATACATATTTTACTTTCGGCACGCACCGTGCTTGGAACAGATGAACACACAAACGGAATGCTTCGGTCGTGTCGCGGCGCGTAATGCTTCAATAGCGATTTTATGCAAATGTAACTAATTGTCAATAGCAATGCGAAATCGGTGGCGTTACGCTGCTTGTTTGGCGAGCAGAAAACGCGTGCATGAAATCGCCGCGGCCGTCGACCGTCGGAACCGGGATTAATGTGTAAAACATATTGCATTAAGCTAAACTTTAACTTAAAACACATGTGGGTGGTACACCTAGTTTATTTAGATGTTGATAATTACTCAATTAATTTTCAACTCTAAATAGTATCGTACGCCACATACGCGAGTTGATTTAGATGTTTACTGAATCGAAACAACCTTTGGTATTGACCCTTCGCAGTATTTATCACTTCCAGTTCCAGTTCACTCATATAGCTACTACATAATTTATATTTATATTTATATAATATTTATCAAATGTTGTTCATTAGTATTTTTTTATTTCGGCGCGGACTAAACAGATGAATCCGAAACCAAAACAAACACGAAAACATAAAACACCAAACACAACCTCCAAAGTTGCAATCAATTTGTTTTCACTAATGTACAGAAGCACCACAGAAGCTCTTTTCGAAGAGTGTGCAAATGTAAATAACAGGGGTTTAGCTACACGCTAGACGGCACTCGATGGAGACACCTAGAGTGTCCAAATCCATTTAGTGAACAAATTTGCTTACGTACCGCACCGGTAAATATTTAACTTTTTAACAGATTATTAGTTTAGGTTGGAAGGCAGTGTCCTGCGCGCTCTCGCTTGCCACAAGCTGCACCACGTTGATGCTTTACTAAAGTACGAGGATTGTACGCCACAGTAAACACTCGCGGAAAAGAGCACCTCTTAAATCGTGTGTAAATAATGCGTGCTTGGGGCTTTCTGTAGGTAATGTGAAAATTCTTGCTGTGCGCTTGTTAACGCACATGGTAGCTAAGTTCATCTTTTTTATGGTTATAAAATGTGAACAAAGCAGTTGGTACTTCATTTTACTTAACCTAGTCCAATAAATTGGTTTTCTACATTTTTGGTTAGATAGGTAGGTAGGTATATTGCACCATCTAGCGCTTAAATATAAAAAGAACGCGTTGGAATGACAATTGAAATTTTATAACATATCGGTCAAAAATTGGTGGAAATCTTTGATTTGTAGGATTTGCTGTGCTCCAATTGGAGAATAATTTTAAAAAAACCTAAAAATTTAAAAGCAAAATATAGGTATTACCGAGTAGGAAGGATTTTTGGTGAAGATAGAATCGAATTTTACCTATAAAATATTGGCAATTATTTGTTGGGTAGCTGATTCAGAAAATAGTGCAAACAATGCTATACCTACACTCATTTTAATCCGCAACAATAAAGTACCGAAAGTTTAACTAACATAAATTCATTTTTGTTATTTTTAAATTACTATCTGTTATAAAATCAGTTAATTAGCCTTTCTTTAACTCCCCTAAACGCAAACTTACTCCTACTTCTTGAGTATACTTGACACACTTCATGCTTTCAAAAAGATTAATGAATTAGCCCTTCTTGGTTTCACGTGCATCGTGCACGTTTACTGGTTTACCCCCAAATTCTTGAAGTTGGCTTATAGTGGCGCATGGGTGCAGCGCAGGTCGGTAATGTCACATATTTGAGAAATTCTGGCCTTGGTGCGACCCTCGCTGCATTCCTATTCCAACCTTATGAACTGAGCATAGGGGCGTGACATAATTGAAAGAAATTTTGCATGTCCAGCCGTGCCCGCTCCCAAAATATATTTTTCTATAAATATGCACATCCTGTACAAGAAGAAGACAATTCTATATTTAAAAATTTTGAATATTTGCTTGATAATTAAAATTTTTGGAAAACATTTCATGAGATTTTCATGAAATTTGAGTTCTTGGAAAAAATGAGAAGGAAGCATTTCAATACAATCTTTTACCATTAATAATATTTGCGACACAAATAACAAGTTCAGAAATACACAATTTTTAAATGCAACAAAAATGTATTCAATTTTAGCAAAGTGAAACTCTTCTTGATCAAAATACAATTTTGGCCTCCGTCCAGTCATTCGCAATTTCCACCTGAATTAACACGCAAATTAAATTATACATGTACAAGATGAAAAATGTGATATTCGCTCGAGTTCTCTGTCCTAATAACACACCAATCCGACGTATATTACGTGTGTCTGCCTCGAGATGCTGAGATTTGTTCAACTAGATTAACAAATCGTCACATTTCGCACAAGCGGTTAGTCGCCAACCGTGCGTTTTGCAACTAATCGGAAAAACGCTCCGACGGCATACACACTTCACCCGTCCGTCCGCAATTATATGCTAACCGAAGCATGCCGAAAAGTGGGTGCAAGAGAAATACACAACCACTCCAAGGCAATATTCTAGATTTACCTAGTCACATTTAAAGTTTCAGCACAGATTGCTCGTTAGTGCTTCCATTCGGTACACTTGTTGCACATATTGTTGCATGTGTGTATATTGAGTAATACAACAGTAAGTGTATTCCGTCGGTGGAGCTGAGTTAACATGCACTGTTAATACCTGCATACACAATTGGAATTGAATAAAAGCAAAGAGGTTGTGTGACTTACCACTGTTAGTTGCTGGTACGAAGCTAGTTTCAAATCAAACCCGTTGGGACGTTAGCTGGTGCTGGTACTTTATTTACGTTCGGACAAATTGCTTTTGCGTGCGCAATAAAACCAGCAAATAAACATTGTGAGAGACTTGGTTGGGAAGGTGTTGGAACAAGGTCCACTTGTTCTTGGCGTCTGGTGATGTATGTCATTGTATCAGACTTGAATAACGTCGCTGTAATTGGTGCTTGTTGGGTTGCATTCAATTATTGCCAATAAATTTATGATGAGCTATTCGGACTTCTATTCAATTTAGGCTTGTTGCGCACAGGTTATAATTTCAATCGCCGGATATATTTAAAGATTATTTAAAAATTACGTTTTTAGCAAATCTCCAAACTTCTTGTAAATTATGAGAAGATAAAGTCGCAACGCATAAGAAAAATTGCCTTTAAATAGTAAAATTTAAAAATTGCAAAGGAAATAGTACTACTAATAATAATTACATTTTCTCATACAAATTGTTACAACCTGTCAAACAGTGTATGCTCAGAAATTAATTCAAAACCCGCAAGACTAAACTTATAAAGACAGATTTCGAAACCATTTCCTTATTATTAGCCCATTTCTTGTTGCAAATGAAAATTTTAAGGTTGTGAAAAATAAGTAAACGTTGTTATAGAGGCTCAGTTATTGATAGACATAGTCATGCAGGTATTTTAAATTAAATCGCCATCTAAAAGACTCAAAATAGGTTCAAGAAAGTAAGAAATTTTTATTAAAATTTTGTCAAAAGATTGCTTTCTGTATCTTCTATGCAGTTTTATTGTAATATTTTGAATAAAAAAGTGTAACCCTGAATAAATTTTAAATTTTCTTTTAGTAGGTAGGGGAAGGTAGCATAATTTGGACCAGCGCCTAAGTTGGACCACCACGATATCCGCGGACTGTTGAAGTTTATGCAAAAATTGACTGGCCTCTTCTTTTACTCGTATTTATAAACAATTAATACAACTATTTGGGTTAAAACTTGCCGCGTGCTTTCGTCGTGACAACAACTTCGTATAGGTATCATTGATTATCAAATCTATTATAACGACGTTTTACCGATTATTATTTTATCATCAGAAAGCTTCTTTATTTATCTATAATTTATAGTATTAATTTTAAGATGTTATGTTATATTAAGATTGTCGTTGATCATTAAATATAAATTCTTCAAGTTGCCGAAGTTGGACCGAAGACAGGCACCGGGGTTTTAACAGGGAAAACGTATATCATTTTTTCGACCTCCTAGAAAAGCTTGTGGACGAGCACAAATCTTCGAAATGATCCACTGTATGAAATGCCGTATTTTGGTTTATACAAAATGTGCTTGTGTTACTGCTAAAACTAAAATTTACTATTGTGTCAATTGCCGTTAAAAAAGCATGGTCCAATTTAGGAAACCGCGCGGTCCAATTTAGGAAACCGGTTTCTTAATTTGGACCAAAAACACAATTTTTTTAAATTGAAATTTGAGGGGTATAAATATAATTTTTACTTAAACCAAAAATATCATTTTGTGGGTAAGCCTTGTGAGTTACTTTTCCGCTACTTAATTTTTATTGGCAGTTTATATGTGGCTCTATAAATCAAAAAATATAAAAATATCCAAATATGGCTACTTTCCCCTATAACCTTATCGTTAAGCGACGGGGGATAACTTTATCTATTCTCTAGTAGTTACTAAAAATACTAACAATTTGCACGATTTGAGTAATGCGACAACTTAGGTAGTACTATATAGTACTAATCTATCTCTTATTCTTATAGTTAAGAGACTCAAACGTTAATTTTGACATATAATTCTAAAAGTAATTTTGAAAAGTGAGCTGGTAAAACACGCGTAAACTCACCTTAAGTATGCGAAATGTCTTTTTAAAACCTCCGAAATTACATCTCAAATTGTATATATAGACATACACAACATGCATGTTCCATTGCATATGTGAATTATAAACGGTCTAATGATGAAGATCAAAGATACACATCCAATCTACTTAAATGCATTCGCGTCCCCGTCGGCAGCCCAACTCGCGTTCTGATACTTTTATTAACGTCGACACGACGACAATGTCAACACGTGTTGGACCGTTCATCAAGCGCCCCGGCATGTCTGCACATTAATTTAGGCGGCGGTTGTGCCACCGCGAATAGCGCAGGTTCGGAGCGGAAAACTCAAAAAACGACGCACGCAACTTGGAAATTAACATTGCGACGCACGCACCGCCGAGCAGTCTATTAAAAACTTCCGAGAAGATTGATTTACGCGCTTTATGGGAGCTTATAATAATTAGCGCTCATGTTAGTCTATAAAATGGCCAAGAGTTAAATCACGGTGAACGTTGTAATTATATGTTGTGCTAATAAATTACTAATAGCTACAGAGTAATAAGAAATTCAAGAAACTGCAATAATATTAATTCCGCTGGTAAAAACTATGATTAAACTAACCCAATCATAAAATTATTAGTGATAACATGTCACGTCAAATCACGTCAAAATAAAAGCACCAAAATATTACCAAACTTATCTATTAGTTTAATTTTGGATTGTTTGTAAATCCTGAACTTGGTCCACGACTCATCAATATTTTCAGAATTTTATCGTACGCTCACTTCATTCTGTTATAGAATGCGTCCGGCTCGTACGTGCGAGTAACTAAAATAACTCCTCAAAGGTTATCAGTAAGGTTCATTGAATGATTGTCGGGGATATAATGAGCGCATTTTTCAAACGCTTCAACTAAAAACCTAATCGCTCAAAAATACTTTAATTTAATGCAGTTGTAAGTAAATTATTCACTTATGAAATTAAAGCGATTCATTCTGTACATTCCGATTAAAAATTATGTTGTAATAACAAACATTAGGTACATTACAATAATTTCCCCCAGGCCGGCAGAGAATGCGTCAACAATACTTAATAATCAGGAACGAATGATTAGAGTAAGCTGTTATGCAGGCGCTGTTTTTAACGTCTTTTACAACTATTAAATGTGCCTGAACGTGCTCGTCGCGATTGAGACGTTTGTTTTGAATATTTCGGCGCTTTACGATGTAAAGCGTAACAAAAATGCGGAGCGATGAAATAAATCCCAATATGCTGGAGAAAAATACCGTGTAGCATGTAGCATATAAACCAGCATGCAACAATAACTTGGAATAGATTTTCAATTCGATTTCAGCTGCAAACTCGAGCGCTGCGAGCATATTGCAGCCCGGTGCCCTATAGCCGGGACAAGAAATATGATATGCTGAACAAAGTCGAGCGTATGTGTGTGACCTACGAAAGTTCATTTCGTTCATTCACTCTTAGTAAGTTGCAGTTTGTTACAGGTTTGTTTGCACGTTGCAAGGAATGCGTTTCAGATATGCCCATATGCGCGGAGAGGAAAATTATGTGTATAGAAATTAAACTATTGATATGCATTCATGCATTCTATGAAATTATGAGGTAGGTATATTTATATGGAAAATGAAATTACGGTTTATTTAAGACGACTCTGTGTTTGTCACATAAATTAGATTTGGGTTGGTTTTACATTTGGTAGCCGACTTTGAAATTTGACTAAAGTCTAACCACTTTTTCTTCTGTTGTGTGGTGTAAGTGTCAACTTTTTCACATATACGAGTAGGTACACGTTTGACATTCCGTTAAACACACATAATATCTTTAAATTTTGTAGCATATAAGCATTTTCTTTTCTTTTTGTTTGTTTCAAATGTTGTAACACGACGCAAAAATCGTAAAGTATGCAATTTAAGAACATTCTGTCATTTACCCATTTAGGACACCTATTCCTATCTAAATGTAAAATTAAGTCTATGGTAGTAAGGTTTTATAACTGAAAAACAATTAGATCCAAATTACGCCCCAAATGGCTGATTGACCATTGAAATTTTGAAGAAGTAAATTCAAATTATAAAATTATAAAATAAAGTGGTTTCTCGACAATGTCCTTAAACATATACGATGCTATTGTGGTTTCTTCATAGAATTGCTGAATCAGAAAACAGTGAAACAATGCTAAGCACGACATTTCGATTTGTTCAATAAAGCAAATTCATTGCTGACACTTGAATTACATGATTTTGAACGATATTAAAAAAGTCTATTCAGTACCTATCAAGTGACTAAACGGGAGCTTTAACAACGTTTAGCCACGTGAACATTTAGCCTTCGAAATTTGCTCGAGCAGCAGTAGCGCCTGCTTTAACTTGCGGCGCATGTCATTTCATATGGTCTGGTGGTGCACCGTAGGCAAATGCACAGGTGCAAGCTGCGTCCCGTAGATAACGCCCGTAGATAAAGTACTTTACTCACGACTTGGCCATCCATATAGGTATAAAGTACCACTTCTTCTGTGTGACTAAAAACAGTGGAGAAACTGGCGTTTTATAAGTGGAAGTAAACAAAAAACATTTAATTGTGTGTTCATTTAATTTGAATAAGAAAATCTAATTTCATTTAGTTAATGATTGAAGTTTTTTTTATAACTATCTAAGAATTAATGTGCCTATGTAGTGCACGAAGAAATGTGGTGTTTATTTTATGGACTTCAAATTTGCTTGAGAGATTTTAGTGAAATTTTGAGGCCATCCTTGGATTAGCGCACCCGCAAGTTGTACCTACATTTACCTATAGGTACATTTTCTACATTTATTCATAAGCAAAACAAAGCGTGCTAGTTTAGTTAAAACAATGTATCTATTACGCCAGCATGAAATTTTGAGTTATAATGTAGAAAATTCTAAATAGTAGTAAAAGTCGATTTGATCGTTTTTCTAAAACTATGCAAAAGTACGAATTAGACAATTGGTACCTCAATTTGCGCTATATCCTTTGCCTGCGATATTGTATTGGTACAGGTAGGTACTGGTAATGGTAAGATGTAAGCAACTCGTACGAACTACTATAAGAAATGCATCTCGCCAAGTTTTTAACAAAATTTGGATGCATGAGAAATTTGTTGGGGTGTCCAAACGAGTAAAAAATTCCTTGCAAATAAATACTCGCACATTATTATTAAACTAATATATTTTCTCATTTTGATATTACTTTGGCATAGTAGCGACTTAGGGTATCGATGGTACGACTTAACAGACCGGTTTGTTAAGTCGTACCGTTCACACATTTTGTTTAAATTGATGTTTTACAAGAATATAAACATTTCTGATTAATTATTCTAATACAAATATTAACTAAATTAACTATATTTACTAAAGCAGGTAAATATTGCGAAAAACTGACATTATGTTGCAAAACTTTCAATTTAGGGCCAATTGTATTTTAGGGGTAGGTACGATTTAGCCAACTTTCCCATACCTATATTTAGACTTACCTGTTTTCTTTTTGCTCCTATTTGTCGCATAAAAATATTAAGTGTGACTAGTTTTTTTTTTGTATTTTATTGATATCAATGGAAGATAACATTTTTACTATGGAATGGCACAAAAGTCTATTAATTGCTAAATAAAGCCCGTGGTACAATTTCTGCACCAGTTCGAATATGGCAACTCTCCTTATATAAATTGATACAATTATGGTAGTCCAATTGTGTGTAAAATAAGAAATAAAAATTTGATTGGTGATTCAATCATTTACATAAACTTTACGAAAGGCATTTTTGATGACATTTTAATTAATTAATTATTTCGTTGCTAAGCGGGAACAAACTGATGGTAGGTAAAATATAAAGTTCACACAAAATAATAGGTAACTTATACCTGTGTTCCTATAGTTACATAAAAGTAAAAGTTATATGATAAAAATACGAAAATAATTCGAGTAGGTACCTACTCAAAAATAGCAAAAAATTGTATCAATCATAAAAAATAATGTACCCAATTCAATCCCTATCACATATAAAAATAAAATGCAGGCGCTAGATGAAAGCCCAACCACGAAGAAAGCTTGCGTGTTCATTAGCGTGTCGTATCCTTTGAACAAGCTTGTATCTCGTCGCCAAGTTACTTATTTTGACATCGCGACCGACAAAACTCGCACTCCGCCGAGCCCCGAGTGCCTGAATCTACGCTTGTACAGCGCCGTTTAATTAAGTGCTTGGCGCACGAAGAAATTAATTGATTTGCTCAAGATAAAAGACGAAGAGGCGACTTGTAATGACAAACAAACAACGCTTTGAACGCTTTGAAGATGCGTTGCTACACGCGTTGCTGTGCGCCATATGCGGAGTGATTTATGAATCGATGACTTCCAACAATCCTAATTAGAAAGCAAGCGTACTAAGTCTAATATTTAATTAGCGACATTAATCTCATTAGCCACAACCGCTTCAACACCTTATTGCATTAAAACATTAACAAATGAATTAATATTGTCTTGTATTGATTACAGAGGGACATGTGCAACAATATGGTGAAGTAAATCAACTCGGCGGTGTTTTCGTCAATGGCCGACCACTACCCAACGCAGTTCGTCAACAAATCGTCGAATTATCACGTGTGGGCATCCGTCCATGCGATATCAGTCGACAACTAAGAGTATCACATGGCTGCGTGTCGAAAATCCTCGCACGATATAACGAAACCGGTTCAATCTTACCAGGGGCAATTGGTGGCAGTAAACCACGTGTGACAACACCCAAAGTAGTCGCCTACATTCGCCGCCTGAAACAAAAAGATCCCGGAATATTCGCCTGGGAAATCCGTGACAAACTCCTCAGCGACGGTGTCTGTGACAAATTCAACATACCATCTGTATCTTCCATCAGCCGCATCCTGCGTAACAAGATTGGGTCGCTTGTTCACGGTGCGCATACGCATTCACACACAGCCGCCATGTACAACGCAATCTATCCCAGTTATCCTTACGCGACCGCCGCGGGCGCGCAACCCAAACTACACTCACCGACGAATCAGCGCACGACTACACTACCGACGGGCCACTGTTGGACGCGGCCAAGCCTGCATTCGGTCGACAACATCCTCGGTGTCGACACGGCCGTTGCCTTCCGGTCGCATCATGGTAATTCAGGTCTATTGTCGGCCATACCTGCGCTACCTGCGCCTTCGGATCATCAAAACTACAACTACTACACGTACTTCACGCAGAACGACACCGGCAAGGCGATGCACATGGTCAACGGCGTGATGGGGCACACGCACGGCCCCGGTGTGCATATATGAATATTATTGGCTGGTGCGCGTGCGCGCGCGCGCTTATCTCCGAAAGTATTAGTATGAGTTAAGGACAAGAATCACGGGAGTGTGTGCGACACAAAAGCGTTTCTGTGAATATTTATATTTAGGGTAGACTGGGTACGGTTGTACCATTTTTTAGATTTTTGCCTGTAGGCTTAATAGGATTTTACTTAGCCCAATGGTACTTGTCATAGTTTAATGCCTAATCATCTGGCTACGTTTTGCCCATATTTTTAATCCCTCAAGGTTACAAGTACCTTCATAAATCTAAATTTTGTTGTGGGTGAGAAATGGTACAACCGACCTCAGACCTCAGGACGGTTGTACCAGGGGGTGGGGTCGATTGTACCATACAGAAATAAAACTTATTTATTACAATAAACGTATTTATTACAATAAAGAAAACACTCTTAAAATTATACTTAAATGTCCTGCTATGTGTGCAACAATAAAATTAGTTGGAATCACAAATATTGCATACGTAGCTGGGTTCTCCGTCAGTGCATTGCTCATGAGCCCAGTTCTTACACTCAATATACACTCATAGGCATTGATATAAGCGCTATCATCATGTTGGCCTTTTCCTGTTTTGCGAATACGTACTCGTGGCATCTAATATAAACCAAACGTTTTACGTTTAGAAAGAAAAAGAAATTTTACTTTAAAATAATACAAGGCATGTGGTCGTTTATACCGGTACAACTGTCCCCATATTATTTGGTACAACCGTCCCCATGTGGACATTTTCCAAATTATATTTAATTATAAAAAAAATAATAGAGATACAAGAATTTGATTAACATACCTTTATTCTTCAAAAACCATTTATTTTCAATAAACACACACGTATAATATAACACGCAAGACAAGATTTAAAAACTAAAAACAATTCATCATCAAATATTTACTTTTGATCTCAAAAAATCAAAAACACGTCCTACACGCGTGTAACTGGCTTTGTGTGACTCAACTTACAACTTACATACTTCAACTTGTATGCGGCTACTATCACTCCTTGAACGCATAGGGCTGTGCTCAACTGTTCACGAGATATTTGCTTTGGTACTACCGCCCCCCTGGTACTACCGTACCCAGTCTACCCTACCTACGGTAGTCGTTTAAGTCTCGTTCTAATTCTGAGTTCGTGTTGTGTTGCTATTTTTTCTCTCGTTGTACATATTAATGTCTAAGTGGCTGACTTTCACAACCCTGGCTTTTTAAAAGCTTTAAAATCACATTGGCGCTCTTATCATTTATTTCTTCTTTATGTTCCAATAAATGAATATCTTGTATTATTATTTAATAAATACATTGGAGGCATAATTTATTTCAAATTGTTGATGTCCTGTTATATTTTTATCATATGAAAAGCGCATGCGCAGTAGTGCAAAAAACCGACCGACGCACACGCATGCGCGGTAAAAAATGGCTCCCGTTTTACAATAAATAAAATAGTTACTTAATTCAATAATGGATCCCTGTCTCTTCCCTTGATATTGTTTTCAGCGTTGATTTTCGTTACTTAATCAAACGCATTAACGTAAGCAAGATTAACGACAATAACGCAGCTGCCGAACGTGAGCAGGCGATGGTTCACTTGTAAATTAACCGATAACAATTTGATTGCGATACGGTTTTATTATCCGCGACGAGCGCTTTCGATATGCCTGATGCTGCTTAACTAATGAGTGGGCAGGTATTTGATTAATGCCAGCCGCGCAGAGCGATGGGAGCGTAAATGAGCGAAATGCTAGTTAGGCTGTTGCTGTCCATCTCGACTTCTCCGAGCTTTCTGGCATAACAATGGCCGATTTTAATTACGCTCGAGATCCAACGGTACACAATTAGGTCGTAAATTATTTAACGGCAGGTTTGTTTTTTGGCTTATTGTTTCGAATATTGTGGGCAACACATCGGCATAAGCAAAACAAAATTATATGATAAGTAAAGTTTAAAAGCGCGTTTTGTAGTGACACCAGCGCCGCACAAAAAAAGTACTAAATATTTATAACTTGCATTCTTAAACTATTTTCATTGTTAAGATATTTTCTACTACTTAAACTACTATTCGCATAAAAAAGAAAATTATCTTTTCTCTGATAGGTACGAGTAGGCAATAGGTAGGTACTATATGCATACACATATGCAAACACAGTACCTACGCGTATAGCAACTCTCCCCTAACCTAAAAGTACAATTTTTGACATTTACTATGGTTTAATCGAATAGTATAATTTTAAAAAAGATTTCCAAATAGGTACTTATATTCAATGAAAAATTAATAGCTCTTTAATATATTATAATGGCTAATATTCCAGGATTAATAAAAGCAGACTTAAGAGAAATTAATTCTTCATGGTATGCGTATAGTTTTTGAGTTGCGTTGAAATGTTTTAAACTGGGCTCTTAAGTAAGAAATTTGACAGATTTGCACTCAATAGTACGTGAGAAATACATTCGAATGTTTAGAAATAATAAATGGTTAATTTCCTTCGCTAGATCCCCAACAAAACATCATTGCGCATTGTGCACCAGAAACAAGCGACAAATCCGTCGACACGCATTCACTTCTTGCATAAATCACGTGCAAGTGTGCAACCCGAAAACGCGTGTCTGCGGTGGGCTCAAAAACACACACACACACACTCATGTAGATATTTACATGTGGTACAAGCGCCCGCGTTCGCATAAGAATAATAATATAATGTGATTATGGGTGACAAGCAATGTTTTCCATCACGGTCAATGAGTGTGACCGTCGTCGTGCGCTGGAATGCTCGCCGCTGTCTGCGACAACGACGGCGAAGAGAAGACGCGCACACACCGCACACACGATTTGCGTTTGATGTTTGTGCGGCAGAGACACGTGCGGCTGCCATCCAGCCGGGAAAACTCATCCGAGCGTGAACTTCGAATGACAAGAAGAACCTCGGGCGAGAGGAAGAAGGGACCGCCGGTTATTTTTGGTGTCTCTTTATTTCTCAACTCACTTAGGTTTTCTACGGATAGACGCGGTAAAATTGGCAGATGATATGCAAACGATATTCGCAAAATGAGCTCATTGTCACTTGTTTGGTTAATTTGTCGCAAAAGAACAAGTTTGGCCACGTTGCTTCGTGCGGTAGACTTTGAAGTTGGAAATTTTTCGGCGGTGCCTCCCACATCCGTCCAAAAACTGAATGCACAAGAGGGCAAGACATTTTTATTATAATGAGATGCAAATGAGAAATATGTCTGCAACTCTCAAGTAAGTAGTAAAAGCAATACTTAAGAGAGGTTAAAATAAAATATTATTGCAAAGAATAATGTCAAATATTTCTACTTCTTCGAGTTTCTATTTCTAAAAAGTGTGTAGATTTTTTTTTATTGCTGTTTATACCTTCAGACTATTTTTACACTAATAAATCGAACTTATTAATGTCAGTTAATTCCCTTTGAAAGGGAATGAACCCATATAACCTCACTTTATAAACGATCCAATCAAGTTTTACATTTTTTGAACAAAAGTATAACTATATCGACCTATAAATCTAGTTTTAGAACTTTTCAATTTTCTGTCATTGAAAAACAAACACACTAGGTAACTATACTTTTAATAGTTGACTTGATTTAATTTACGTATTTGTAGGAATATGTATGTTCTGACTTCTTTTATGATCATAAATTATATCATACTAATATTGTACCTCAACGGAAAAATGTTGTATGTATGGATGTATGGATCTTTACTATTTTATGCATATGCTACTGAATACATTTTAATAAAACTACACTATAATATAGCTTAAATAGCAGAATAATACCTAAGTTATAATTTATAAATATTTTGTGCGAATTCTTCAAAATATAGGTACCTAAATACCTATAGAAATGTGGATAATTGGCAGAGGACGTGGCGGCGGCTAGCGTTAAGACAACAATTGACAAGATTTGGCGTTTTCAAAATGGGATAACGTCATTTTACAATATTATATTGAAAAAGGGAAATATTTCAAAAATTTCGAAAATATTCACGAAAAAAGGCGATACGAAGTTCTCGGTGTTATAGGTATAGGGGAAGGTTGCTTAAGTCGTACCGTCACGTAAGTCGTACCTCGGTCTTTTCTCTAACTTGAAGGCACTTTATGCAATTTAAAATGCTGTATTCGGACAGCATGAAATCATACTAGAAACATATTCTTTAATTAGTTCCCGCCGAATCAGAATTGAGAAGTTATGCGTAAAAATAGTTTTGCTCCTCGTGCTCATCCAATTTCTCGTGGAGCTTGAAAGCATTGGTGGTCAGTAAAACACCACTAAATATGTGTTGCTTGTTAAATATTGGTTATACACCTATCCATGTATTGTTTTCTACATGGATTTTGTTACATATTCCTTCTGATATATTGTTTAAAGTGGTTTTAAACGGGAAGCACATGTTTGCTAACTCATACCCCTTTGCGCTTTTTAAGTCGTACCTATAGAACATATGGGACTCAAGGTTTCAGCTGCGCCACGAAGCGGCGCTACGGTTGCGCGCCGAAGATACTTTACTAGCGTGATGAGAATAGGGAAGATAGTATGATTCAGTGCCTCAAATGCAAAATTTGGATGCATGACAAATGTGTTGGGGTGTCCAAACAAGTAAAAAATTCCTTGCAAATAAATATATTATTATTAAACTAATATATAACTATATTCTCATTTTGATATTACTTTGGCATAGGTACGACTTAGGGTATCGATGGTACGACTTAACAGACCAGTTTGTTAAGTCGTACCGTTTACACATTTTTTTAAAATCGATGTTTTACAGAAATATAAACATTTCTGATTAATTATTCTCATACAAACTAAATCAATATTAACTAAAGCAGGTAAATATGTCGAAAAACTGACATTATGTTGCAAAACTTTCAATCTAGAGCCAATTGTATTTTAGAGGTACGACTTGGCCAACCTTCCTACCTACCTACCTATAACAATAAATACCTATAAAATAAATATATATTATCTATATATATAAAATTTGCGTGTCACAGTGTTTGTTTCCATACTCCTCCGAAACGGCTTTACCGATTTTTACCAAATTTTATATGCGTATTCAGTAGGTCTGAGAATCGGCTAACATCTATCTATCTATCCCTAAGTAATAAGGGTTGTTCACCCTTAACTTTTTTTAATATTTGGACGAATATTTTTGTTTTTATTTTTTTATGATGTGGCATTAAAAAATACATACAACCCTAAATTTTTAGTTTTTTATCATTAACCCCTATTTCTTTTTAACCATTTTAGTAATTTAATCATTTTTCATCCCGCCCAAAGAAAATGTTTATATGCGTATTCAGTAGGTCTGAGAATCGGCAACTATCTATTCTTCATATCTCTAAGTGATAAGGGTTGTTCACCCTTAATTTTTCTTTTATTTTGGTCGAAATTTTTTGTTTTTATTTTCTTAATGTGGCATTAAAAAATACATACAACCCTAAATTTTTGGCTTTTTATCACCAACCCCTATTTTTTATAATAAGTAAGTTACTTTTTGTCTACACTAAAATTTATCTAGGAACTAGAAATAATTTATATGGCAAAACAACGTTTGCCCGGTTAACTAGTAAATATATATAAATAACTATAACAATAAATATTAAAGTAATAATAACAATTCTAATATAAGAAATTGAATTTTTCGATTGCCTATTAATCAAGTCGTAGAAACTATCAATATTCTGTCGTTGAAGAACAAACAAATAACATAACCTCAACGTACCTATATGTTTTTGTATACTTGTGTGATCATAAATAACATTTTATATTGAAAGTTAAACTAGTAATAAGCCAGCCAACTTTCATTTTTCCCTTTTGTTCTGTATTGTTTATTCCTAGATTATTACCGGTACCTACCTATTATTACACGAACCAAACATTCAAACAAATATGTCTGCAAATATTAAGCGATTGCGGTTTCGCTTGCCTTAGTTATTTTTATTGCAGTTGCAAAAAAGGGTAGTGTTGCACTCGCAGAGAAGAGTTTTCGAGGCGAACGTGACATATATGTACGTTTGCATGTAGTCGTTTTACAACCGTCCGCTTCTCGTTTTACTAAAGACTTTTACCGACGCGATAATTAACCAGATGTGTGCGCCGTGGGTTGGGAAACGTAGCCAGTGCGGCTGCAATCGAAGTATGTGTATTCAGGAGTATTCCTCGCACCGCCGCCCTTCGCTTCCTTCGCCTCGCGCGCTGGAACTCAAATGCGTGTCCTATAGGAGCGCACGAATAAATGAGTTTTCGTCGTTCGTTGCGGTCGAATTGTAAATTGCCCTCGATCGAATTACTCCTTTTATTACCACCGTAGACTTTTATAATAAAGTCGATATGGAAATGCGCGCAGCGTGCAGTAAAAACCTGCAGAAAGAGAATTTACATCCTCGAAGGACGAAACGCAAGTATTATATGCGTGTAGAACTCTTGTGGTTATTTTAATATAACGAAAGTCGTTCGCTTGTACCTTCGGTCAAATTGAGCTGATAATGCGACACAGTTGATGGTATCGGCTTTCCGAATTGTATGCCACAAATTAAGTCATTTCGAAACGGTTTCATACGCTCGTAAATTACCACCCGCTTTCAGAGTGTATTGTGTAAAGTGCGAAGAGATTTTCAAGAAGCAGCAAGTTTGATTTTTGCGCACAATTCCGAAGGAAATTAAGTTGCATATTTTGTTGGCAACTAGAGGAGTTACTGAGCTGCTGTCTGTGAGTTAGTTGACTGTGGCAAAGAAACCAAATATTGTCGGCGGTCTCTGTTATGTTTTTGAGTGTCAACAGCGTTTGATCTATGGAGCGGCGTCTTTTGCTACTAGGATGACAAGTAATATGTTATCATTAGGGATTCCTCTCTGTTTTTGGTTATAGGATGGTTTTTTAAATTAGTTTTAACTTCTAAGATAGGCAATTAACCAGGAAGTTCACAAAAAATGCAAAAACAAGCAAGATATAATTTCCTCAGTTTCAAATTACCAATATGAATATAAAACTGGTAATATTTTGTCAAATAAAAGATTAAATTTTGTTTAAACTATGAATTTGTCATCTCATTGAAAATTATACGACTATTCAGTAACTATGTTTTAATCCCCATTCAACCCTAATTTTACAGCTTCATTTCAATAGTTTAAATTTTTGGTAAATTCCGTGTTTAGGTATTACACACTCTATATTTGATTAAAATGCATTGTTGTCGTGTTTTATTTTGTTATTCAGATTAAACTATTTAGATTGGGCTACGATAATTGTATTGCACAATATTATGTTGAAATCTAATATTTACCTACAATATTATATAACGTGTAAGGTAGCTGAAGCTCATAAATAATATTTTAACTATTGTAATATTATTCATTACCATAAAATATGCCTGTTGAATTTTACCTATTTGCACTTCAATTTTACAATTGGATATATTTCAATCATTAGACAATCAGTAGAAAACAACAATGCAACACTCTTGTCTATCAGGTTGACATTCGGTGGCACAACCCAACACAATGGCGCATTCAAATACTGCACTGTTTCATATTTTTAAACAAAAGTTAAATTGCACGACTTTACTTTTTTCTAATTTACATAAAATGATATTTTTGCCTTGCAATTCATGATTGCAAAGGTTGCAAACTGATCTCCAATTAGCTGATGCATTGATGCCATTTACAAACTCTCACGTCGACCAAGTTTTCTGATTTTTTGCTAATGTATTTTTCGAACTCAATTTAGAGATACCAGCGGCATCTTAAATCAGCGTTGTTAACTAACATAGTCCTACAGTGCGGCGCTTAAAAAATCAGTAATGAATCATCAAATCAAATATGTATTTTTTTCATACCGTGTAAATATTACTACATTTAGATTAAATAAGCTATAAAAAGGCAATTATATTGACTGTTTGATAATGCTATTTTACTGAACACAAATATACATTTTTAATGAGTCATTCTCCTTACATAGTTAACAAAAAAAGCGTAAATAATGATATTATATTATATTCTTAGCCCATTTAAAAAGGACAATTGCTATATGTATATACTGTAAAACATATTGGCATTGACAATATAAACACAAGTCATATGCTATTAAAACCGTGTTGCAATTCATTGTACATACATAATAATATATTCCCTAATAGGTATTTGTATATACTCATGCCACTATTGTGTTTTGCATTTAGTGTATGTATGACATGGAATGAATAACATTACAATACCAGTGCATGACTGCCGTGATGGATGCAATTTTACACATCTTCACTTAACATGATACAATTATATAATTTGTTCAGGAATATCAATGCTCTTATGAAATACACAGATCTGAATAGTCTAGCTTCTTATTCGAGTGAATTCAACATTAACAATTGCTTTAAAACTTTGGTCTGTGAAGTTTCCCGAATTTCACCAGCCAAGAACATTTCATCTACCACAGTATACACCTTGTAAAAGTTGAAAACAAGATCTAGTTCACATACATTATGGAAGTATTCATTGAGAACTTCAACAAAATTATGAATTGCCTCTAGGTAACATAAATTATTGTCATTTACATCAACACATATACAAAAGTATAACCCAGCGTAACGTCGGTAGACTATTTTAAAGTTTCTGAACTGTAATTAAACATTTTATTAGTTAAACCTGCATGATTTTCTTTCAAGATAACTTACCTCAACAAAATTTGTATGTTTTGCATCTCTCACAGTTACAACTGCATGTACTTCTTCAATTAACTTCTGCTTTTCATCATCATCAAAGTTCATGTACCATTTTGCTAATCTGGTTTTACCAGCCCTGTTTTGTATGAGAATGAATCGAATCTGCAAGAAAGAATTGATATCAGATCCACCCACTAAGAATGAATGTCATGGATGACCCATAACTACACATATGACTGCATTATACTCACCATGATGATATATTATTATTCTGTTTCGGGTACTTAAAACTATATATTACAAACAATAGATATTTATTTAGACTTAAGGCTAAAACTCCTAAAACCGATTAGAATGTATTTGTGTAAAACTGACAACTGGCGTATTGGCATTTGCGGCATTCATTACTTCTTGTTGGTAAAGCAGGAAGTTTTGATATTAAATTGTGAGCGACATCTACCTGCGAGTTTTAAAGCAATATTACAAACGTTTAGTGATTTATACTATTGCTATAGCATAATTATTAGTTTTAATAAAATTATTGAGTTGCAAATAAATTGAATTAAATTAATATTAATTAATAAATATGTCTTATTAATACACTAGTTGCTACACATTTTTGAATTGAAAATCCTCTCGTTAGATATCGAGTAGTTCACGAAGTGACTACCGAAACGCCGTGACAACACTTTCCTAGGTTAGTCATCTGTAGTAATTTATGTTAATTTAAGATTATCCTAGTTTAGACCTAGTTTACTTCGGTGGTCTACGCGACAGATAATACAAAATGAGTGTTTAAAATGAAGTGATAAATTTAGCAGCGTCTACCATTCACTGTCTTCAAATGCTAAATGATTTCAATTTAAACTCAACTCTTTAGTGTTAGAACCACTGACAACCTCATCAAAATGAAATCGAACTGCTCATATTTATTGTTCTTCTTCTGGTTTGCATGTATTATATCTGTGCAAGTACTGCTCTTTATGAATGGATTTCTTCTGACGCGAGTCTCCCAATTTAAAAATGCAACTTGTGATGGGATCATTGATTGTGAAGGCCCTGATAACAGCTGCAAACAGTCAGATTTGCTTCCAACACAACACAAGGACTACACAGGACAGACATGTATTAAAAAGAAAACTAAAGTTATGATATTGCTAGTGGATGCATTCCGATATGACTTTGCACTATACAATGACAGTATACAAGACCCAGAAATGTACCAGAATAAAATTAAAGTCATCAACACTTTACTGAATGACCAACCTAATCATTCAAGATTATTTACATTTGTTGCTGATCCACCAACAACCACAATGCAGAGATTAAAAGGTTTGACTACCGGAAGTTTACCGACATTTATTGATGCTGGATCCAATTTTGCATCACATGAAATCAATGAGGATAACATTTTAGATCAGGTAATATATTTAAAACTTTATAAAAAAAAACAAAAAGTAGTAATTTATGGTTTTAGTTAGTAAATAATGAGTACAAAGCCGTTTTTATGGGTGATGACACATGGACAGGATTATATCCGCGTAGATTTGTGCGTAGTTTTCCATATCCTTCATTTAATGTGTGGGATTTAGATACAGTTGATGATGGAGTGTTGGCTCATTTATACAATGAGATGGATTTTGATGATTGGAAGCTGATTGTTGCACATTTTCTTGGAGTTGATCATTGCGGTCATAGATATGGACCAAGTCATCCAGAAATGTCGCGGAAACTTACACAAATGAATGATGTCATTGAGAAAGTTATAAAAAGATTGGATGATGATACAGTTTTATTTGTTATTGGTGATCATGGGATGACTAGCACAGGTAATACTCAATTTATAACATAGATAATAAGTTGTTTATATAATTATTTTTTTAGGTGATCACGGTGGTGAAAGCACCAATGAAATCAACGCTGCTATGTTTGCGTACTCAAAACGTCCATTTTCGAAATCACTTTACGCCCATAACAACACAGTAAAACAAGTTGATCTTGTTCCTACGTTATCGACATTACTAGGTGTGCCCATTCCACACTCAAATTTAGGTTCTCTTATTCATGACTGCATCCCGGCTGATGCACATACATGGAAACAGGCGTTAATAGCAACCTGGGCGAATGCTCAACAATTAACGAATTACATTCGCGAGTATTCTAAAACATCACAACTATTCCCTGCTGATCAGTTATATAGAATTTTCGGCATGTATGAAACACTCAAAATAGACTTCCTGAAAGTACGTAGTGAAGACAATGCACAACAATTTGCACAAAACGTGAATGATTTTATACTCAGCACGAGAAAGATGTGTGAAGAAATATGGATACAATTTGACGCGTTTAGTATGGCTCGTGGACTATTACTAATCTCCACCGTTACAATATTTGTTTATTTAATAATTGAAGGATCTGCGGATTTGTCTGAGATCGTAAACAAAGAGTTAGTGATTGCGTGTTACACGTCGACTGCATTTAGTAGTCTGGTCGGTTTTCTCCTATATTTTTTTAACATCGCGCCTGTTTTAATGAACACGGTTTACTTCGCTGTGGGTTTATCGGCGTTGTTAGTGCTGGCATTTATAACCGTGCGGAATTTTCAAGAAATTTCAAGTGAATTATACACAGCTAGTAAAAGTAGGGATTGGACTGACATTATAAACCGCGTTGTCTTAGCTTTTAGTGGACTTATGTTCCTTAGCAATAGTTTTATTCTGGAAGAATCCAAAGTAATGTTGTTCTTTCTTCTGACATTGATTTTAATACAACTCGTGCAATATACACTTACCAAAGTAAAGAACAAGAGTATCACGTTAAAATTACTCGCTAAGAATAAACTACTACTGTTAGTTTTGATAATGTGCGTAATGATTAGAGTCTCGATGAATTACTGGCGCTGTCGCGAAGAGCAAGGCTGTAATAACTCGATATTTTTATCATCAAAGACCATTGGTGGACGTGTGGAATGGGCGATTGCAGCTGTGACATCAGTTGCCTTCATTGTTGTATGCAGAATTTGGCTGAGAACATGCGGTAACTTAAATGGATTGTCATTCACCGTTTTGGTGGGAAAATTTGGACCTACTACTGCTATGGTGAGCACAGCTGGATTTTGGATATTGCATGGTTTACCCACGCATACGAAGACCAAACTTTTGGGGGCTATGCAACCGGATATTCTCGCATGGCTTGTGTACGCCATTACAATTCTTGGAATACTCACAGTTATAATTCAACCACTTTGTGTTTATCATTTGAATGATAAATCGAAACGACTTGAACTGGAAGGCGATAATATCATCCCACAATTAGCTAAACATGTGTTTGATAATAAGAACAAGAGTCCGCCAGTTGTCTATGGACTTGCAACTGTTTACAGTGCAGCGTTTCTTTTGATTATTATCAATCTTGTATTAATATGGCTGTTGGTATTAGATTATGTCGTTGTGCCATCTTGTATTGCGCTGTTGGTAACCATCGGGTTAGCTTTGCTTGTAAATGCTATAGCGAAGTTTGAAAATTGTAAACACATTGAAGATTTATTGGAAGTTTCGCCGACTCAGACGATGATATGGTTTGCTGTGTCGATTTATATGTTTTATGCAACTGGACATCAACCGGCATTCCCGAATATTTCCTGGGAGGCTGCTTTTGTCGGAACTGTAAAACCAGATGGAGAGTTGATCAATCATGTAGTGCCGGCCATCTTGGTTTTGATCAATACTTTTGGGTCCTATATCGTGATGGGATTAAGTTTGCCATTGATCTTGATTTCTCCATTTTCCTTCTATGTTATGATGCCGAGTTTCATTAGCAAACGGAATAAATTGAGCTTGAGTCGTGGGGAATTGGAATTGTACGATCGCAATGATAAAGTCGGGAGTAATATCTTTAAATTGTGTTGCAACTATTCAATGTGTCACATTATAAGGGTAAGATTGGTGTTTTTATATATGATAATGTAATGTTTTTACATCTTTGTTTGATTTTTAGGTCTTCGCTATAATGCTGTCTTCTACAATACATTGTCGGCACCTAATGGTTTGGAACGTATTTGCACCAAAGTTACTGTTCGAGGCAATCGCTTTATTCATCACTCTAGTATCAGTATTTCTAGGTTTTGCATTATTCATACGCGTAAATCATCAGTTGGACAAGTTTGTTGTCAAACTGAGTAAACAAATGAGCTAGTCAATTGTAAAGTTGTATTTACATAATTAATTCAGACTGAATTACAAGACAAAAACAATTTGGCACCTTATAAATCTCCAAATTGTAAGAAGAATATTGAACCAAACATCTAAATAAATTTAATAAAGCCTCAACAAGTCATGTGATAGTACTCTTCTACCGATTACACTTTAACAAGTGTTTAACAACGAACATATCGGTACAACTCTTAAATATAGTCTAGCTCTTGTTTCTCCTAAGATATTTATAGGTATCCTTAGAGAGAATGTAACTCATGCCGGCGGCGACAGTGGTCGCGCCGGTGAAGTACCACAGCGATTCCAGCAGTGGATGGCCGACATAATGGAAGACAGGCGCTGCCAGCGTCGATCCCACCAGCAACAATTGCACTGCAGTGTTTACTTTACTAATGAACGTCGGTGCTAGCTGGGCTGTGGCGTGGGTCATATCGAAGTAACGACTAAGCGTTTTCTATAAATGTAAATTTGCACAAGACTTTATTTTTAAGTAAAAAATAATAACTTACTGGTGGTGGCAGTGATTTGTATCGAATTACAAATGCTGCTGTAACGAGAATAACATCCCTGGCGACGATAATGCCGGTCAGAGCAATCGGGATCAAATTGGCGTAAGTTAATGTAAGAAACAAAGTTGCAATTAACATTTTATCCGCGAGCGGGTCAAGGAAACTGCCGATTTTCGATGATTGACTTTCCCAGGTTCTTGCAATCCAGCCATCCAACTAGAAATACATTTTATTTAATTGTGAATTTAAGTATTTATGACTGAACGTAAAAAATGCGCAAAATTGAAGCCTTCTGTTAATTAAACACTCACCAAATCCGTTAATGCTGCAAAACCAAGAACCCCTAAAGCTAAATCAAAATCAGACTGAATAATCAACATCCCCAAATAAGGTGTGATAAGAATCCTTCCTACACACAGCAGATTTGGAACGGTGTAAATATTTTCGCGTTCGATAATTTCCTCAACTTTTCCTTTAACTTTCTGCTTGGTTTCCTTGATGTCACTGAGCATAACTCTGCTCCTCTCCTTGAGTCTTTCCTCTGCATCTTTCAGCCGTTCCTTTCTGCCTTCAATGTATGTCTTCAGCTCAGTCTTAACATTTTCTCGTTCCCTAAACACCTCCTTTTCACAGCAATAATTTGTGGTGAGTAGGGTGCATGCATGCTTAGTAAACCTAGGTCCTCGAGCTTGCAGCAACTGGGCAGTGTGTGTCTGGAATATGCCATAGTTGGTGTAGTAATTAATACACTTTAATACGTTTTTCTGGACGACACTTTGCTTGACTCGGGCTAATACACATCTTGCATTACACACAATCATTGCATGTAACTCTTAGATACAAAACAGTTCGATGGACATATTGCGTATGATACAAATACATATGATGAATTACATAACCTTAAATTTGTCACGACAGTGATTGGAATTACATCGGCATATCATATGTTCAGTATAATTCTTATAATCAAAGAATTTTTTTTAACTATTAACTATATTAGTGTTTCTTAATTAAAATGAGTGCAAAGGTTGTGCTAAAGCAGGCCCGTGAGGCGATAGATTTGAAGAATTATGCGGAAGCTTTAAATCTTAGCAAAGTAAGTAGTGTTTTGTTTTATTTTTATTGACTCAAATGTAAAGTTTATTGTTGTAGAGTGTATTAAAAGAAGATAAAAATAATTATGTAGCATTAGTTTATGCGGCATTGGCCTCTCAGGAAGTTGGTGCAAAAGAAAATGCAGAGCATTATTATGAAAAGGCAACTACTTTGATGCCTACAAATAATTTAGCTTGGCAAGGATTAGTCAACTTTTATGATAAATGTTTAGAGACTAATGATGATGTTAAAATAGTGAGAAAGCTGTTAAAGACCTATGCTAAACAAATAGAAATTGATAGGTATATGATATAATATTTGCCTATAGTTTCTTTATTAATTGATTAATTTTAGTTCTGATGAAAAAGTATTAAAAATAATATCAAAAATTGAACGACCTCAACTAATGAATATTTCTTTTAATGGTGTAATAAATACTCTCAATAATTTGTTAGTTTTGGAATCATTGTCAGTTGGGATGAAACAAACGATTCTTGCAACCATTTTAACACTTTTAAGTAATAATAAAGTTCCAGAAGTTTATTACAACTTGGTAAGGATTTATTTATTTATGATTAAACAAAGAAACAACTTGAATTGCTTATATTTACAGCTTGAAACTTGTTATACAGCAGCTAATAAAGAAACATTAACTGAAAAGGAACACTTAGCACATTTAAAAGTTTTGTACGTGAAACAAAATTTCCAGGTTTTGTTTGATTCATTAAAGAGTTTGCCCATGGAATATTTGGGAATTATTGATTGGGAGTGTGAAATATTCATTAAATTTTATGTTTTACGCGACGACAACTACAAAATTTTATTGGAACAACTAAAACAAGTGAATGAACAATTATTGACTTTGGATACAAAATATACCCGACTTGCAAGAATTATAATTGATATTTTAAAAGAACCTAGTGCGGATCCTTTAGAAGTAAAAGATGCATTAGAAGATGGTAACTATATTGTTATAATTTATGAGTGTGCCCTATTTTTAAAGTAATTAATTTTAGTTGTTAGAGAAAATCCGACTTTCTTTTGTGCTTGGGTTATTTTATCAGAGTGTTATTTGGAACTGCAGTTTGAGAAAGAAGCGATACATGCGATTTACACAGCTGGGACCTTGTTAACACCGAAAACTAGTAGTAACTACCATGAGAGGGTGGATTTGTTGACTTGTTATTGTTTCTGTAACAGTGGTAAAGATGAAGAGTTGAAGAAAAGTGTCAATATTGGTGAAAAGGTAATGTTTGCTATTGTCTTATCATATATTTTAAATTTGAAAGTAATGAATTACAAATTTTAGAATGTAAATGAATCAACTGCAGATGAAAAGTTACTCATTTCTCTACTGCGCGCACATTTAAATCTAAACAACGTCCAAAGCGCTAAACAAGTTTTAGATAAGTTTGATAAATCGTTCAAAACTCACCATCTTATGAAAGCACTGGTTTACAAACACGAAGGGGAGTCATTTGCTGCTATACAAGAATTGGAACAAAACGTTCAGGACTCTTCTGAGTACTGGTTAATGTTGGGAGACTTGTATTGGGTTGATCAGACAGGCAAATCATTAGTGGCTTATCTAAAGGTAAAGTAAACATCATAATAATTAAACGCTAACGCCATAAACTGTTGCAATTTTGTAATTGTTTAATTAGGCAACCAAAGCGAACCCGAATTTGTTTATTTGTTACGAACGTCTTGGACGTTTCTATGAAAAAGCTGGAGATTTAGACAAGGCAAGGCGTTGTTATGAAAAATCCGTTAAAATTAACCGTTCAAAAAGCAGTTGTATTGAGTTGAGCAAGATTTATCGAAAACTGCAGAAATGGGTACGTTTTATATATTTATATCTCTATACAACATTACCAAATTTATTTATTGGATTTAGGATGAAAATTTATCATTATTACTTTCTTTAACATCCGGTAATATTTCTATCGATAATACATGGGCATTTTTCCAACTTGGAATTCATTATTTTGAACGTGAAGATTTTACAAAATCATTAAACGCGCTGCGTTTGGTGATTCGATTGGAACCTGACAATGTTTGTTGCTGGGAGTGCATTGGTGATTGCTACTTTTCTGGTGGAGCGTATACGTCCGCTTTGAAGTGTTATCAAAAAGTGAAAACAATCAATGAACATGCATTGTATCCGATGTTACAAACGGCCAACATTCGAAAATTGTTAGGCGAGTTTGTTGACGCTCAGAAAGAGTTTGAATCCATTTTAGATATTGATGGAAATTACATACCCGCGTTGAAAGGTATCGCGGAAACTGTTTATTTGATTGCCAAACAACATTTTTCTCGACAGTTGTATGGTTTGGCACGAGACGCATTGCAAACTTCTTTAAATTATATTTCAAGGTAATTTATTTTTGTAAATTATCATCTTTGTAACTACTTTAGATCTGTTAAAACTTATATTAAATTTTTACAGAGCCCTTCGTTTAAGAGCTTCTTTATCATGTTGTTGGAAGATTGCAGCGGACTGTTGTTATGCTGCTTCATTACTACCGTTTAAAAATGCATTCCTCTCTGTGTCCGCGATAATAAACGATTTAAACGACGATGATAGTTGTCCAATTTCGGATGAACTACTCAAATATGCTATTCAATTGTATTGCAAAACTTTAAGTTTAAACCAGAGCAACGTTTACATCTACCATGACTTGGCATGTTGTTATTTGCAATACGCTAAGCTGGTTAGAGACAAAAATGAAAAAGAAGACTTTTTAAAACATGCATTGACAATGATACAATACTGTATCAACAATAATGCGATGAATGCCAAACATTGGAATGTGCTGGGATGTATTTTCTTTCAAATGCAACCTAAAAAGATAGAACTCTCGCAACATGCATTTATTAAATCGTTAACACTAGACAGAAACAACGTAACAAGTTGGACGAATTTAGGAACTTTATACTTGTACCTAAATGAACTCAAACTTGCTAATGCAGTCTTTTCATCAGCACAGAAAAGTAATCCGAATTATGTAAATTGTTGGATTGGTCAGGTAAATTAAAACAAACGAATGTATGTTAGGAAATAATTTAATATAAATATGTTTAGGCTTTGATAGCTGAGGCATCCAAGATGGTGGAAGCAATGGATTTGTTCAGACATTCGATGGAATTGTCGTATCATCCCGAGGGTACAATAGGTTACGCGCATTGGGTGTGCAAAACTTTGATGACGAAGCGCAGAGATCAAATTATCTACGAGATTGATAACATGCATGCGATTCCTGTGGCTTGTGATGGTCTTCGGTGGTATGTTGGTGAGTAAAGTAGAAAACTAAACTATGTTGCAAAATGGCATAGTTTTGCACAGTCTTCTATTGTTTTGATAACTTCCTTCGTTCGATATTTGAGGAAACTATTATCTCGAATCAGGAACATTTCTAAGTTTAGTATTGTGTCATTATTTGCTCGGAAATCTGCTTCACACACGAAACGTTGTTTGCATTCTGTTTGTGTCATGTCCAGTGAATTGAATGCCAATTCGTTCAAATCCACTCTGTTCGAAAAAAAATTAATTAAGTAATTTAGTATCTACTAAAATCTTTTGATATGCATACTTTTTGATTAAGTCTTGAACTAAATTGTAATTATCATAAATCTCTGTTTGGAATCCTCGGCCGTACGAACCGCTGCTTGTAAAATCATGACTCTCGTGACTATGATCATCTTCGAAATATGAAGGATAATGATGTTCCGGTGCTTGAATGTAGATTTTTTCTGGTTCGCTACTTTTTTTCGATAGGATACCATATTTTAATAATGCGTAGGTTTTACTTGCGAATAAAGCTAACATTATCATCGTTCCCACAACAAACGCGAATTTCAGTTTGATTGCAAGAAACGCCAAGTAATAAAAGTAAGGGTTGTGATCTAAAATATGCAATCAAATGTTTAATGCATTCTTCTTTTATTATAATCGTACTTACGTAGGTGATGCAATTTATGTTTGTATCTTTTTCGCGCAACTTCTTGACCGCGCGCTTCATCCTGTGCAAAACACACGGACACCACCAACAGGAAGATAAACACAGTGCACTTGAACGAACACATTTTGTCAGAGACAGGTGATAATGGTAAAAATTTCAAGGCATCGCTTTTATATTTATGATGATGTTTGTTCACTAGCAGGCGCTAATTATAGAGATCTACTTAACGTTAATTTTCAATATTTGTTTACGCATTTTACGCACATCTCCAACCTAAGTGTGTAGTCCACTTTTAATCTAGGATAACTTTCTTAACTTTTTCTGGTTGGCACTTTTTCTTTTTCACACTTTGTTTTAATTGATACTTATTGATTTATTTCATGAATTTATTTTATAGAAAATTATCCGCACGACGCTTGTGGATGGAATATGTATGGTTTTCTATGTGAACGGCTTGGTTTAATCCAAAGTGCAAAGGAAGCATTTTCAAAGGCAGCGAAGTATTCCAACAAACCTGAAGCACTAACAAATTTAGCTCGCACTTTATATATTTTTGAGGAATATGATGAAGCTATTGAGTGCTATGAAAAAGTTGATGAAAGAAATGTTAATAGTGAGATAGGCTACGCGTTGACATTATTTAAAGGTAAAAGCATGTTTAAAGATCAAAAATTATCACCAGTAATCTTTTTATGTATATATTCAGCTGAACGTTATGAAGAAGCTTATCAAGCCTATGAAAATGTATTAAAAAGCGAACAACTAGAGAGTAAACCAATTCAACCTGATTTATTAGTTGCGCTAGCATCAATGAATTATATGTTTGGTGGACCTGAACCAACAAAAGATTTGTTATTCCAAAGGTATACATTAAATTGTTATGGACTGGTCTGGCATTATTTATCATTATTTACATTTCTAGCATCGGATTGGAAACGAGGTCGCCGTGGAGTTTGTACGCTGTATTGTCGCTTGGTTTACTACACGATGATTTAAACCTCGCAACTCTTACTTTGGAAGAAGTTAAAAACCTACCACACACCGAAGAAAACTTCGAGCACTACGCAAACTTACTGGTGTACACATATTTAATTCAGGTATAAACAAATTGAGCATGATTAAGAAACAATCATACTGGTTTGCTTACAATGTTGTCACCTTTATCATTAGGGAAAATACCGGACAGCCGTGTCACAATTAAGTGGCTTGATACACCGATATCCAAACAGTTCGTCACTGTGGCTGGCGTTATCCGCACTGTTGTATCGCACACGTGATGCAAAACCGATGAACAATGTGATTGTTAAATGCGCACAGGCGTCTTTAAAATTAAAAGGAAACAATCCGAATTTATCAATGGTAATGCAATGTGTTGACAAACATACAATGTTATAAGTTCCAAGTGCTTAACGCGATAATTTTATTACAGGTATTGCCGATGGTCACGGCCACTTCTATTTTGTCTGGTGATTTGCGTAACGCTGTAAAGACCGCCCAGCGACAAGTGCATTACTATCCTAATGATAAAAATGCTTACCAAATACTACGCGTGGCTGTAAATGCCTTATAAAACGTCAGGCCAGCAGGTAATTTCAATTATTTTATAGTTTATTGTGACAGCGAAAAGAAGTCATTTTTAAAATTTTTTTTATTAATCAAGGAAATAAAATCATGTTTATCACATTAATATTGATGTACACATGTGTGTCGATTGCTTACGGACAAGTTTGTCAATATCCCGGTCATTTTGTACGTAAAATTATATTTTAATGATAAAAAGTTAAATTAATATGATGATATTTGTTTAGTGTGGGGAACATAAAGATTGTTGTGGCGGTTGTTGTCTAAATAATATTTGTACTGATGGTAAGTACATAGAACTCTTACAATACTAAAAATTAAACGGTTTCATTTAACTTTTTACTTAGCTACTTTAAACTGTTGGATCTACGATCATTTGTGTTTGTTACATCCATGCATTGGCGAGATGGAGTGTAAAGTCTTTCAAGCTTGGGATGGCAGTGAACCTCAAGTCTATTGTGAATAAAATAAGTACTATTTATATTTAACAACTCTTTTCACTCCAAGTACTTTAAGTTAAGCACTCGTTTGGTAGATTATATGTCTAAAAATAAAGAAATAATTTTATGAAAAATTACAACACATTAATAAAATATGACGTTTTTTATCAATACCTTAATAATTTGATGATCAGGATTGTAGTATTCATACAACCAGATTGAAGAATTGTAAAGTTTTGAGACCATTGTTGTGCGACTGATGTTAAACGGAATGCAAACAGTTTCACTAAAGAGATCCGTGAAGTAAAACACGACTTTGTTCGAAAACTCTTCAATTTTCTTCAAATCTATAAAATGTGATTGGTAAAATAACGCGTAATTAAATTGTAAATAAGTAATCTTACTTTTATGTGTCCCAACTATGTTATGTAAAGACTCTTTTTCCGAATCAAATCCTGATGGCATAAATATTTCCATTACAATCATCGTCGGTTGATTCACATTCGCATATTTGAAACATGGCACCAATGTGCTAATCAAACAATTAGCTGTATTCGTTATTGGATCTATATTCAACTCAAACGCTTCGTTATTCCTAGGACTATCAATATTGTAGCGTAAAATAAACTAAAATTTATAAGATAAGATTAATTTGTAAATATTGTTTGGTAATTTACTTCTGTGAGGACACAACCAGTGCCTTCATAAGAGAGTTTTAGTTTTTTCGTGTTCTTCGGGAAAGTAAATTCTTCCTGTCTTGAAAGTTCTTTCTTTTTGAATTGTGCATTGTAGTGTACGTTGTCATCAAACACAGTTATATTCATTTCTGGGTTTCTTTCATTCATGATAGTTGCGTATCGTGTGATTGCATCCAATGCAACTACAGTATCCTATAGATTATAGAAGAAATAAACAACATGGCGACATGTTAAGTTATTTAGTTAATGAGTTTAAACAGGTTACCTGACTAGATGAAAATCCCCCATGTGCATTTCTTTGATTCAGCAACCAACGCACGATTGCATTGGCATAGATTAAATTAGCATTTGATATTTTGTGCATGAATGACATCAGTACGTATGCCGTTGTTTCAATATCCATTGATCTTGAGTCTATTGGAGCATTCATACAATAAGATTACAGTGCAAATTTATTTACCTACATCTTACCTCGGGTACTGTTCCACCACATAAAGTTATCTTCAGTAATTGCACTTTTTACCAATATATTAAGCCCATTATCGGCCCCAGCATTATCCCCAAGCAAATATAACGCATAAGTATTAATAGCTAATGAATAAACATCAGGATTAAACTGGCCATGAATACAAAACAATGCATTATGACGAACTGTTTGAGAAATATTAAGTTTTGACTCTAATAAATTGATTATCACATAAGATGTCAATGCAGATGTGCTATTTTCCATACTTGCACCACCCTAAAAGAAACAACATCAATGTATCTTAAACTTTATCTGATTGATAATAGTTATCAGGTAAGTTAATTAACTTACCATATCTTGAAATACATGTGAGACAGATGCAAAACATCCATTCTCCAGTTGATGTTTCAAAATCCATTCAAGTGCATTATTTGTAACCATTGGATCAATAAAAATATATTCACTTGCAGCGTTTAAACTGCGCAAAACAAATGTTGTTAGAAACATACTTCCTAACGAATCTAATTCACCAAACGCTGAAAATGAGCCATCATCATGTAAATATTCAAGTATCTTCTGATATCCTATTTGTAGATTTTTTAAGATACGTTTTCTCACGTATGGTAACAAATTATTAATTGATTTTAAGTATTTCATAACGTAGAAGTTGGGCGCCATGACAGCCATAATTTGCTCCCCACAACCAGTGGGTAAAATAATTAGCTCTTCAAGATTATGCATCACAGGCCCCATTAAATCAGAATATAAAACAACTGAAACTGTCTGTGAGCCAACGATGTGATCTCCTGGCACATCCAGATTCCATGTTAAGTTGTGTAATTCTTTCAAACCACATAACAGGATTGTTTTTGTTTTAACCTGTGGGTATCCTTCATAAACAACATTAATTTGTTTTTCAACTGTATCTAAAGCATTTGTTTCAAAATATGAACCAGACCAGTCTTTGCCATGATAACCAAGCTTCATTTGAACTGAAATTGTCGCATTTTGTACTTTAGCAGATCGCAAACGTACAGATTTAATAAAAACTTCATTTGCTGGAATTTCAATGACGTCTTTTAATGCATTTGGATCTAATTCCTCCAAAGTTGTGTTCAGAATCAATTGTATCTAAAAAATATTACATATTTTAAATCAACAACATGTTACTTAAACAAAATATCTTACTGGTAAGCTATAATTATAATAGTTATGCGCAGAAATCTGTAGGTTTAATATCTCGTGTCGGTTAAGTTTTTGCGGAATGTTGAAATCAACAAAAAATGATTTTGTTGTTACAAGTTTAACATTTGTCACACCCACACCATCCTCGGATGTACAAAGAATATTTGTATTCCATGTTGTTATAGAATCCGGTGTTTTGGTCTTCAGTAAAATGGTTCCATGTTTGCTAAAATCAGCAAAAATCTAACTATTATTAAATTATTAATATACTTGTAGTAATACTCTGTGTCAATTAAATCCCAATGCCACGTGGCTGGAAAATACGATCTAATTTCATTCCAATCCTGGTCGACTTTTGCATATTCATCCTCAGTTATGATTTGATAATACGGTGCTAATTTGTTTTGATTTAAAGATTCACCATTGTCCTTACAAGGCTTAGAAATAATCCCTGTGTTTGTAATCATGGCGATTCCAACATTCTGAAAACTTATATAAATATTATTGTTGTTATTTATTGTTATTACTTACATTAAAGTCCTCAAAGGAATCAAAACCCATTGATGAATTGCTATGTTTATTACTTTCTGGTAACATAACATCTACAAAGGATTTTTTTGTAATAATTTTAAATTTCTGATTAAAATTAATTGTTATTGCCTTTTGATTGACTCGTAGCAAACAAACAACTTGGTCTATTTGATTTAAACTCTCGCTGAACAATAAACGGTTGGATAATTTTATTAACATTTAATCGTTTGTTTGAATCCAAGAAATAATTAGCTATATCAACACTGCTGATGGCACAGGTCGATGGTTTTCTTGTTTTTATTATCAGCTTGCTCTCATCACCCGGTTGTGTGTTACCAGTCGTCCATTTTGCTGTTACCTAATACATTATTTGAATTAATTTAAAATTTAAAATAACCTTAGAAGACTGGGCCTTACATTAATCGGTAGACATTTTTCAACGTATAAATTGATACTATTTGAAATTGTTTCACCTTTGTTAATATAAAATACCGTTAAATGTCCTTTGGAATAAATTTTCTCGGGAGTCTTAAACTTGAGGACGAATTTATCGACGTAGTTCTCCATTTTGATGTATTTATTATTAGCAGTACTCAGAGTATTTCCTATTTCATTTTCAAAGTCAATAATTGATTTGTTTACGATGTGATAATACTTTTTTAGCATTAAAATATCGTTACTTGAAGTAATCTAAAAAGAAATATTTAGTTGTAAATCTCTAATTGATAATTTGTGAAAATACCATGTAATAGAAAGTAACATGTTCGTTATGTTTCAATTTGTTTACGGTAAAATAAACTGTAAACTGTTGCGGTGCTTTGCATTTCGTATAAAGCTTTGAATTCCTTTCAATTTTCAAATAACTCGTTGATACAGAATACCAACGTCGTAGAATCAAAGGTGTTGCAATCACATTAGTATAATTTAATGATTTTGCGGTAATTTTAACTTGTTTTACGTTTTCTTTCATTGGTAGAATGCTAAACGGTATGACGCCATCTTGGTCGAACTGAAACACAGCGCATTCGATTGGTTTCAAGTTCCATTCGTTTTTCCACGCGATTTGATAACATATTTCAACTGATTCTTTACTATAATCATTCAGGAAACCTTTCGAAACTTTTAATTTATTTTTATAAGGTAATCCAGGTTGATAGTAAGATGCTTCAGTTAAAAATTTCAGCTCGTACGGTTTTTGATGCACGTTGATGTGAATTGTTTCGGTTTCCATTCGATTTGTACCGTCTTCAGTTACTGTTACGAATACGTTTAATGTTTGTGATTTTACATTAATTTTTGAAAGTGATATTTCGATATTATTAAAGGTAAATTGCGTACAACCATCAGCAAGCTAAAAAACAATAAAAATGGTAATCATTTAGTAATCATAGTTCGTTGTCATATAAATTATACAAACTTACAGCTTGTAACTTGCTGGTTGAAAATGAGGAATCATGTAAATAAGTAATCTTTGCAAATGAATATCCACGTAGACCTTTACCAAATGTATATTTTGCACAAACTTTAAATGTTAGATAAGCTGCACGCACAAAAATTCCTTTAGGTGCGTTTATATAAACTTTATATCGAGGTAGAAGATAATTTTTTAGATAAAATGACTTTCTGTATGTACTACATTCAATATTCCATGTGCCCTAAAATGTTTAGTGTAATGTTGAGTATGAACCATCATATATAATTACATATGTCGTTGAATTAGCCAGTTGGTATTCATAGTGAACAATACCAAGCCGTGGAACCAAATTACTTTCAGCATGTACAGTAAATCCTTGTGGATTTATAATTTTTATATCCAAATGCTACAAATTAATATAATTTTTTTTAAATTAAATTCATATGCAATGAAATCTTACCGTTGCATTATTTGTTGGTAACATATCTTGTGTAAGCTTTACAATCCTAATCTTCACATTATCTCCTTGTCGATAAATATTTCTATCAGTTTCCATGAATATGACATCAGTTCCAGGATAAATCAAAACCGACTCGTAGCTTTTTTTATGCAATACGCTACCACCAGATTCAAGGTAAATTAATAAATCCGCAGTTAAAACTTCCAAACTCTTGTGCAACGGAATTGTCATATTAAAACAATCAGTCTCTAAAAATTTCAATTACTTGCATAAATTTAATTAAAATGTAATGAACTTTTAGAAATATACCTGATTGTAGTACTTCATGATAAACAGTGTGTTTATTCTTAATTTTCATGTCAATTTTAATGCGTGCAGGAAAATATTTACTCTGGAACACTGCACAGACGGTTTCATTCTTTCCGGCAAGGAATGTGCGTGGATAGAGAAATACGAAAGCACTTTCCTCATGTATTGTATAACTATGTAGATATTTATAAAAAATAAGAAAGTTAAATGAAATTTTTAAGTATTCTTTACAAAATTGACTCACTTGGATAGTGTAGTTTTTTCCGTAAGTTCAGCACACAAACCATTGTTGTTTAATTGCAGAATGTAAACTAGAGTAGTTATTATTAAAAGTAACATATTGATACGCGCACAATATACACTGCTAATAAAACCGATTACTAAAGTTGTATTATAATACTACAATCGTATTGTTCAAACAATTGTTGCTTAGTTCAGTTATCATCTTGAATGCGTGCATCTCACATTTCCGCTGAGAATGAACTATGACATGTATTTGACCGCGATAAGAAAATGCAACGACTGCATTTTCATACAGGACAATCCCTAATCATTAGCATCCGTCACAACAATGTTAGTTTATGTATATTATAAACTCATCCTGTAGAAGAAAAAGTGGGTGTATTATGTATATCAACTGGTCTTTATAATTTATATAACTTTTATTATAATTTTTTTCAGAGATAAATCATCGTACATTAATCAACAATTACGAATACTTGACCTAAGTCATCATAACTATATGTACGTTTCAACAGCGTGTCGACTAGCTTGATTCCTGCAATCGATCGTAGGCCAGGTAGCATCGGAATCGCTTCAATGTCGATTTCGCAAGACGATCGAGTTGGAATGCTCTTCAAGTTTTTGCTCGATATCCCGGACCAGGCGATCCCTTCAGTGTCATCGAAAGTTACGATTAAATCAAGCGTGCGATCACTAGTAAAAAACATGAATTAAAATATGATCGTATTAAAATTAGTTTTTCTTACCAGTTATTAATAATACGACATTTAAACTTAAAAACTTTCTCCAGCACTACAAAGTTTGGAAGTTCTGACACGGATAATCGCACATCTCCATAATCAGGTCCCTAAAAATTAAAGATGTTATAAGTTTAATAGACTTACTTATTTAAGGGTATATAAAATATACCATTCTTTGTAATTGACTAGTTTGTAGTCTTCCACGTTCGCCGAGATTTGATCGCCATACAATATCTAGTTTTCCAATATTAGTCGCGCCGCTCAACATTTTTAAATCTGAAGATAGTTTTGCATCCGGCGTTAAACAGTATAAAAATTGGCATACTGTGTTCGGCTGAAGAACGATAGTTTTACCAAAGACACTATCACCGTTTGGTACATTATTTAATGATATAACTGTAATGAAATAACAGAATTAAGTATTTATTTGTTTAATTTCGAATTTCTTACTTACCTTTAAATAAATTGGATGCATCTAATGCTATTTTCTCTAAACATATTGGTCCAGCTGTGATATTATTAACCTGTGCCTCTAGGTACACATCATCATTCTCAGCATTGTAGAACTTTGTCTTGACATCAAGTGGTTTTAATACTTGAATCTTAAAAAATTTCCTAAATGATGTAGGCACTCCCATTGCATTATTATACATAACTTCACATACCAGTCTGAAATTATTATTACTGTTGACTTAGTTTCTTTTACTTTCGAAAAGTTAAATGGACTTACATGTGAGTACCAATTTCTTTGACTTCATGATGAATAACAATATTAACATTTTCATCACTTTTTAAGTTCTTTGCAACTGGATTAGATGACAGGGGCAGTCTTTGGGAGCTTGTTTGCAGGTCAATCTTTATTGTAACATTATTGACTGGCTGCTGTGTCTCTGAATATACACTTATTAAACTGGAGAAAGTCTCTCCCAAATAAATGTTGACTGGACTTTGTGGCAGTAGAAGAAACTGACCAATGGAAAGTGTCTCAGCACCTTGCACAGCTGTTGCATCTTTATGCAGTGCTTCATTTAACAAATTGCAAGGTAAATCTTTGCTATCACATGTTATTGGTAAGGGGCTAGAGAGTGTAGGACGAGTTAATCTCATCACTAGAATATAGAAGTGTTTAGTAAGTTTACTTTTGAAGTAAGTGTTTTACTGTGCCTACCTTTAAGAGAAAGTAAATGTTCTTCTGTGGCTTGCATTTTGATTGTTTTATGCAAATAATCAATAGCTTTTCATTAATGAAGTTGGAAGCTCATTTCCTTCAATTCATTCAACCGAATGCGCAGATATGTCTACTTATTGCACTCTAGTTAAATACGTAACTGTTTTGGGATATATTACACTGATTGTGGAATTTGTTTGGGCGTAAGCTGGTGTTATTGTTTAAATTTGTTCCTATTTATTTATTTTGTTGATTTGCTGACACCTCCGGCTGCCATGCAAAACAGGGTTGGTGTTAGCAGGTGTAAGCGGTGTAAGTTTATCGAGTGAAAAGTAAAATTTGAAGAGGGGAAAAGATGCAATGTTGCCCAGCTTACGCTTTTTGCAATTTAGAATATTTAGGTTTTGGTTAATACATTGTAATTGATATAAACTAAATGATTTAAAATGATAATTAATTGAAAGAAATTGTACATTTGTGGCCTAAACAACGTGAAAATATTAGAAGAAAATTTTACTTTCAGAAACATCGACAATCTTCGATATATTTTGTTTTCATTTTTAATTTTTGTTTTAGAGCAATGGCACACTGTTAAAAAATAATAATTAAAGCAACTCTTTTATGTTTAAGGGTTTAAAATTCTCAAAATAATAAATTGTCTTTGTACGCTTGCGCATTTAAATTGTAATTAATGTACAGCGTTGCAATTGAAGAATCACGAGATTCACATCTTCTGATTGGTGCATTTTGAAATGTACCGAACTTCAATCAGCAGCTGTCAGATTCATTAACGCATTTATCAGGTTTATCAGTGCACTAACGTACTATAAGATCAAAGACTTTACCCAATTATTCTGTTATAAAATGGCACAAAACGTTAACCCGCACCACGAACAGCAATCGAGTGGCGTGAAACAAAGCGACGACAGTAAGAAAGTATCATCGGACAACCACGCCGTCTCGAAAAGGTAAATTTCTTTGTTGTAACCTCATTTACCTGATAAGCTTCAGAGCAAAAAAATCATTATTTCTATTCCTATGCTTTCAGACTTCACAAAGAGCTCATGACTTTAATGATGAATCAAGAAAAGAGTATATCTGCGTTCCCAGAAGGCGAAAATCTTTTTAAATGGATTGGCACAATATCAGGTCCTAATGATTCCGTCTATGAGAATCAAAAGTACAAGCTAAGTTTACAGTTTCCCAACTCCTATCCCTACACAGCTCCTATTGTGAAATTTATTACAGCTGTGTTTCATCCAAATGTGGATACAAATGGCAATATATGCCTAGACATCCTGAAAGACAAATGGTCAGCATTATATGATGTTAGAACTATTTTATTATCAATTCAAGCATTGCTGGGTGAGCCAAACATTTATAGTCCATTGAATGCTTTAGCAGCTGACTTATGGAAAGACCCTGAAGAATATAAGAAACATGTACTGGAAGTATACAAAGAGTTGTAAAATTTACACCAATGATTCATTTAGTTTAATTTTTAATTAGGGCTTTTTTACATATTTACATACTTGTAAATTGTTTGAGGTCAGTTAATCATATACATGTCAAATGTTCAAATTGGACTCAAAGTTCATTAACAAAATTTTACATTATGTGGTGTATGAAAAACATATTCCTGATCTTATTTTTATATACTTATTGTGTCTTTATATTGTATTACATTCATTATTGTTCATTTTTCATTCATCTGTATACATGAGGTATTTAAATGATCATTGTGCTGACATCAAAACTGTTGATTTAATTTAATGGATTCCATGTCACTGTTTATTAAATTTTTGTGAATTGTATGTTTGTTTGAAATCATGAATTTTCTAGGAATAATTGATGAATAAATGTATCTCCAAAGAAAATTTGTTGCATTTAGTATTGAAAATTCATTGGAAAAATTGAAAATCACTTTTTGGGTGACAATGTGGGAGTTTTTTTGTATAACTGGCGAGAAGGGCGATCTAGAATTTTCGGGCTAAGCACATTTCTCAGACTTGCTTGGCACATTTCTCAGGCTTGCTTGGCACATTTCTCAGACTTGCGGAATGCACAGGCGCACGTTCAAATCTCGAAGCGTGATCGTGCTTCTCCGCCCGCACACGATTAAACGAAACTATAAGCGTACAGTAAGTGTTTACTTAACTTTACTCAGAAACTATAAGTGTAGAAATGGAATACAGGGTAAGTCCGATGATTACTAATAAGAAAATTTGGAAAAAAATTAGCGTCTCAAACAGGCAGGGCGTTTAGCACTAGCCGCGCTCAAAGCAGGCTCACCCAAAAGCGAGCCGTGTCATGGATGGCAAACACGAAATTGCATCCCAAAAACTTTACAATGGCTCAAAGCAGAAACACATGTCTTTTTGATCAAAATTTGCTACGGCTAAAAAACCAAATGTTCAAGCTCGTTACAAACACTAGCATACAAGGAAAACATCGGCGGGCAATGCAAGGGTCATTTCTAAAGTGGCATAAAAATGCGGAGACGCCACAGGGGAGGTAAAATCCCATCGGAAGACTAATTTAAGCATCTACTTGTAATAACTTTTCACTTCATAACTTTTCAAGCAATATTGACAGTGTCGCCAACGAAAGAGAGCTGAGGACACTGCAATTCGTCATAAATTACATTTGCCCACAAGTACGAAGGCGCCACGGGGGAGGTGAATTCCCATCCGAACACTAGCATTCAAGGAAAACATCGGCGGGCAATGCAATTAAGAAAACTTAGCAATGCAAAGTTTGGAAGCTTAGAAGCTTGGAAGCGGTTAAGTGAACGACACGTACTTAATACTACCCTGCAGCCTAGCACGATGCAATAAAGCCGACCCTGCTCACCTAAAATACTATCATAACATCCTGTATATAACCTTGAAAAATAAAAAAAAAACAAGTTCTACGGATACGCCAGCTCCGAATTTTCCATGCAGGCTCTAACGATGATGAATTTTATTCTCCGTAATGGTAAATTTGGAACTAGGGAAGTTCGGTTGAATTTATACCGAAAGGGTGAAATTGTTGGCTTTCGAAGTGAAAACTTCCTTAGAATCGTTGTGATTTCAAAATTAATGAAACGACACTAAAAAGAGAAAACATATTCAACGTATTCGTTTATATGGTTTAGCCTGCGAGAGAATAAAAGAACACAAATATACAGTGTTTCCTATTATCTTCGTCTTCTATTTCTGCGATGCTTCGTAGCTTACCACAAGCCACTTGATTCTTTTTTTTTTAATAAAATAATAACATTCTTCAAGTATGCCAAAAACTAATGCCAATAAGTGTCGTGAATATCGGCAGAAAAATAATAAATAACTTTTACCCATGGTTCCAATATTATAATAAATAAACCCTATAATTATCCCATTCCTGATACTACTTTCGTCTCATACTCTCGCAGTACAGTGTTCTGAAGGTTTTACTTCTACCGCATGTGAACTGCACACTTGATTTGTATTTAAATTTCTATCTTCTAGAGAATTTCCCAATTTTCCATAATCTTTAATTTTCTGGTTGCTATCTCTTTTAGTTATTCACTGTCAAAAATGGTGGAAATAAATTATCAAGCAAATTAAAAACATGGCGCACAAAACATCTTGTATCTCGCGAACTAATTGACTTTTTTAAAGTTTCTCACGGCAGTTTTAAAGCTCGAAAGTCTCCCTACACTATGTATACCTTTTCAATCTTCTAGCCCATCCGAAAGTGTCCTAATATGCCCTTAAGAAATTGGCACTTTTCAAAAAAATTGAAAACATGGTGTGGGAAACACCTTGTATCTCCCGAACTAATTGACTTTTTTAGTGTTTAACACCGCCATATTAAAGTCCAAGAGTCACTCTACGCGATCTATATTTCAGTTTTCCGCCATTATCTTGAAAACTATTACAGATAGAGACAAACGGTTCTTATATTTGTATGTAGAATTACATTTTACATTATATAACATGAGAAAATTTTCAGTTACCAACACTTACGTATTAATTAAAAATGGTCAATAACATGAAAACTAATTATGATAGGGCAACCAAACCAGGATTAATGAAATCCTGTTGATGTCTTACTTCAATTGGAAAGATTTGTGGAAAATCGGAAAGGAGGTTTTATTTGATGCGTTTAGAATGTACCACCAATTTTCCGAAATAATGATGTTATCGGAAAATTGACTTTATATCTTTCATCCCCGTGGAAAACTCAATCGATTAGCGTTTTCCATTTTCTTTTAGCTTAAAAAATTTTTTTTTACTCCAAAAAGAGTCAAGTGTAACCTCTAGATCTTTTTGAGAGGTCTTTGGTCAACTTTAGAAAATTGAAAAACTAAATCTGCCATTTTATAGATCCATATCAAGGCATGAACAAAATGAAGAAAGTTCTTTTCTATCTTTATTATTTTCCGAGAAAATTGCGACGGAAATTTTTTTAGGCACATGTTATATTTAAATTTTTTTAAATGTTATCTTATCTAGGATTTGATGCTGAACATCGGGGTGTTTTTGGTTTTAGTTTATCTCTATTAGTTCCTGAGATAATTGATTCTTAAGTCTCGATGGTAGTGCACATTTCACTTAATGAGATTTACTGAAAAATTCCTTACTGCTATTTGGTGAAAAGTTGATTAAATTGTATCATTAGGAGCTCCCCTACACAATGAAGTAGTTCTCAATATTTAATTATACAATTTTTTTAAATGTCAGGCGCCTCCGCCAATTTTTTCATAATTAAAAACTTTTATTAATTTAAAAAAAAATTAATGATTTATCGTTTAGGAAGTTAAAATTCCAACTTTTAAATTAATGTTTTAACAAGAAAACTTTAAGAATAAAGTTCGACTGTGTTGTTCAAGGAAAAAAAAATTAAGAAAAAAGTTCAACCCTGTTATTCGACTAAAAAATTTCGACCTTGTTCTATGACCAAAAAAAGTAAGAAAAAAACTCGACCCTGTTCTTCGACCGAAAAAAATTTTAACAATAAAGTTCGACGCTGTTATTTGACCAAATAATGAAATTTTTGGGACAAAAATGGCTATTTTTGAAGTGCTTTTTAGGGCACTTCTAGAAAGGTTTGGGGGTTGAAAAGATATGGATCGCGTTTTTTTACACCATGTTTAAATTTATTTTGAAAAATGTAATTTTTTAAAAGGCATTTTAGGGTACTTCCGAAAGGGCTAGAAGATTGAAAAGGAATGCATTGTGTAGGGAGACTTTCAAACTTTAAAATTGCCGTAACAAACTTTAAAAATTCAATTAGTTCGCAAGATACAGGGTGTTTTGCGTGCCATGTTTTTAATATTTATAGAGAGTTTTGGGGCACTTCTAAAAGGACTAGAAGATTGACAATGTGTGCATCGTGTAGAGTAACTCTCAAGCTTTAAAATGACAGTGACAAACTTTAAAAATGTCAATTCGTTCACGAGATATAGGGTGTTTTCTACACCATATATACTTACTTTACATACAATAAGAAAGTTTTACGTTATATAACATTCTGAACTTTTCAATTTACTACACATATGTAATATGTTCAATAACTTGGAAAACTATTTCAACGAGGATCATGCATAATTGGGTTATAATAAAACTAATATATTAATTCGAAGACATACAATTTATTTGCATTGAGAAGCATTACAATGACAACCAAAGCCAAGAAACGATTCTGTTCACATAAAACGATAATTCCGTGAGATGCACTCAATTAAATTGCCTATAGTCAGGGATACACAAAACTATTTGAAATGAAGTTAGTTGATAATTGGCAATGCAATCATTAATTAATCAGTTATTATTTTTGAATCTAAAGCAATCGGCTTCAATACTCTCTTTGTTTGTATTATCAATTAAACAACTAATTCATTTGAATTTGAACGCCTGGTGGCTACGGACTAGCTTCATCGTTCATTACAATATTGTCTCAATAGTGGGTTACATTTCTTTTACAAAACTATCGACACGTACAATGTATATAAAAATGCATTCTCATTATTACAAAAGTAGATTCGTTTCAAATTTGTTCAAATTTTCAATGCCTAAATGCTATTCAAATTATTCTTGTCTATTATCTCAAATACAACTAACTTTTACATAAAGATATAAAAATACAAACATTATTGAATAAACGAATTAAAAATTACTGAAATAAATATTCCATCTTACAAATGTGAAAGTCATAAAGTGTATCATGTATACAACGCGATTTGCTATGCACTAGCATTTGTTACGGAAATAATTTTTAAACAAACAAAGTACATTGTATATAAAATCTATGCATACGTTAATGCTCTATAATTTATCATTACAACGAGTTTTCATTAATTTTATTCCTTTGTAACAAAATATTAAAAGGCACACAGTGCCAGTGATGCTCTTTTTTCTATTTTTTTTTCATTTAAATATATTATTCCATTTGTAATCGTAAATATATAGTAAATTATATATTAATTATATACAGGGTGCTCTGGTGCTTATCTTGTACGTTTATGTTCTTTAGTAATCGTTTCAATTACTCGCAAAGCGATTTTCAAAAGTTAAGAGATCGCGGTTTGAGCCCAGTCGTTTTGCAGTTGAGAAATCTACGTGCTTTTTCCGTCAGATCAATTTGGTCTTTTGTTCGACCACATGCTACCATTGTCCACATTACATCCAACTGCAACAGATATCAATTAGTTCTCTAGTCCAGTGTAATATGAATTTATGCGATGTACAAAGCACAACTCAGGTGACTTCTTTTACAAAATCAAAGACACAACATGAAATTTCAATTATTTGATAGTCACAAATAAAAGTAAAGCATTCGTTCCATACAAACAGATAATTTAAAAAATATATAAAATGAACAAAAAACAACCAAAACCACACAGTTAACAAATTTTGTATCGGTTTGATGGGAAGATCGTTTTGTTAGTGCTCGAAATTTGTTCACGAAGTCTGATGTAGTCGCTTTCGTTTGTACATTGTTAATCAAGGGACTGCTCACCTTAGGTGCAGGTTTAGAGTCTTTCTCCGTGAATGTAATGCGTTTGACGGCAGCACTGCGTAGACCGTTGGCTCGGGATGGGGCACTGGTTGAGGGCACGAACTGCCGGGATAAAGAGGACAGAAAGCTACAATACAACCCAACACACAAACAGACTACCACACCCCTAAGCCTGACAGCACAAATCTAACAGCAGAACGAAGACTGGGCTCCATTATGGCCCTAGGATGCGCAGCGTCTAACACATATTGTTTCATTCTATTCGCGGGTTAATTGTATCTTAGATAATAGACAGAAAAATCCTGTTTCTTTTGAAAGAATGTCCCTACTCAATACACTCAACGCTTTTCTGCTGTTACCTTTGTGAAGAGCACCATGTTTCTTAATCCTAGAGAGTCCTACATCAAGTGTGTTCGATAAACGTGAATGAATGATAAACAAGAATGTCACTAAGACATTTGTTCATGTGCATCGCTCTCAACTCCGTTGATTTTTCAATTAAATTAAAATTACAATAATAAGTAAATAACAGTTATAACTAATTTTTGGTCACGCATTATTTAAATATGCGTATGCTATGCATCATTTAACAACACAAATAACAAAACAAAAAAATCATGCATCTCGAGTTGAAAATTTACATCAATATATAGAAAAAATGCACTTAAAACATAAAACGAACTTTTTCTTGAATGTGAAGTGCACATGTTTTGGTTTAATCCTTTGGGAAAATAGCAAATAGAGATATAACTCACAAAATTCGTTTTAAAAAATGTATCTGTGTGCTTAATTCTAGAGCACTTTGAGAGTCTTGTAAGTTACACTCCCAAATATATTATACGTTATCAGGATATAGGTTCCGATCGGACTAGATTATATAAAGTGCCACAAATATCAAAATTCAATTTTCAGATTCGTTTCATGCATTCGAAAAAAGGGATTCGTGCTTTTTAAGAAATAAATAAGTTATTTTTTAAATTGTTATACAATAAGTGTGAAAACCGACAAGATTTAAAAACAAATAAACCAAAAAGACCATAATAAAACAAAGATCAATAAATAAAACAAATAAAGTTTTAAAGGAAGAGTAGAAAGAAAACCTATGTACATGCAAAATTTGGCTTGCCGCAGCGAATTTTAAGAGTATGCAATGTAAGTACGAAGTTTGGGTAAGTGAGTGTGGTTATTGGGTGTAAGTTTTTTTGTTGGTACACATTGTTTGGCTAGTGGTGTGGTAAAATATGATCTCCAAAACAATACCAATCCTGTACCTTCGAAGATGATGACGACGCAAAGTCCAAGCTTGCTACCCCACCGAGTAGATCTTTCGCAAATGTATTAGGTGTGTTGAAGAGTATTGAAGATGCATCTTCGCCCAATGATTTACTCTATTAACAATTTATACACCAACATTAGTTCACCGTAGCTTGAAGGAGAAGAAGAGTGGTGCTTTTGCGGATGAAATTAACATCACTGTACAGCGGTGCTTACACACAACAAAAAGCACACAAAAAATGAATAAAAGAATTATACTCACAGGTGTCTCCACGGCGAATGACATGTCCGAACTCATTGGAGAATTTAGAGATGTCCAACCTGGTGCTAACGCTTTTCTCACTTTTTTATTTGGCAAAATATTTTCTTTATCGGCTGGTATATGCGGTTTCCTCTTACCGCTACTTACAAATCCACTTTCATTCTAAACACGGAAAACCGTAAATATTTTATGAGATCACACCGAAATAAAACTTACATTAAACAAACTATCGGTTTCTTTCTTCATAATTTCTGTAATATCTTCTAATCGTGTGGGAGTATCGGGTAGATTCTTAATCGGACCCGATTTCTTCTCCAAATCCGCTAGTGCTTTCTTGAACGGCGTTGGCGTCCTCGGAGTGTCGTGACTGAACATCCGACCTTTGCTTGGCGTCGTCGCATCAGATGTCGACGGACGCGAGTCAAGCCGAATCGAGAAACTATTCGGTGTAGTAAGCGGACTGTAATCTCGATCCTGAAAATACCCATAATCAAAATATGAATTAAACATTGCAAGTATATAAACCTACCGCACGTATTCGGTTCTTAGTCGGTGTAGTAGTAGATGAATGTCCGTTCCTCATTGGGGTGGAAGAGGCAACCGTCAGATCAAATACGGTTAAACTCGGACTATTTTGAATCGTAAAGAATTGCGACGGACTGAAAGGAGAGTCTTTGACCGGTGACAAATTAATACCTCGTTGCGGCGTTTCCGTCTTAGAATTGTAAATGTCCAACATTTGTACATCGCTAACACTCATAGAATCATAAATTCCGCTATCACCGTTCATATTTTTATCATTTGCACGAGATTTGCGCAGGATAGCAGGTGCTGGCCGCGGCAATCCTTGTAATGTTTTCATTGCTGTTTGTCTTGATATATGACTATGAACAAGATCGGAATCCTTCAATGGCGTAATGCCAACCGATCCAAAATCACCCATCGTTTCCATACCGGAATTCACAGAGTCCAAAGCAAGGAAACGCATATCAGACAAATTCGATGAAGAGTCTTGCGGAGAACTAGTAGGGAAAAGTGTTGCGTGTGATGGTGTATGAGGAGAAGGACTCGTTGTAGTCATAGTAGACGACTGGCTGCTGCCTTGATCTTGCCATTCCTGTTATTAAAAACACATTTATAATGTCACCCGGCAGCAGAGTTAAATAATTATATACCTCAATATACAGCGACTGTGAATCGGTAGTATACTCTGGCCCGCTGGTTTTCTGCTGCTTGTATATTCTACGTCCCCGTCCACGCTTTGCTTCACCATCGCGATGTTCCGCTTCGTATTTGCGTCTCATAGTCGAATTCCAATGATTCTTGATTGCATTATCAGTACTGCAACATCCATTACAAATAAAACGTTAAATTCAAACCTAATATCTGGATTGTGTTGTAACATACCGTCCAGGTAACAACTTGGCGATTTTCGCCCATTGATTTCCCCATTGTTTGTGTGCCCGATATATGATATCGTCTTCCTGTTCTGTCCAGGCAGACTTTTTGATATCCGGGTTGAGGTGATTGTGCCACCGTTCGCGGCATTGCTTTCCGATGCGACCGCGTAGATGTTTCGCAATGAGCGTCCATTTCTTTGGTCCGTATTTCTTCACTAATTCGATTACTTTCTCATCCTCCTATAAAAACATCCACTCATGTAATAACATGTCTGCTCGTCAATGCGTAACAATATGGCGACATATGCCGCTGTAAAACCATAAGGTACGAATTCTATTCAGTGTTTAGCGCTTATTCCACTGTATATTCAGTTCCATTGAGTGATTAGTGTGTGAACACGAACATTTGTATGTTTATTATATGGCAACATGCACACTTTTTTTCAGTGAACCTGATAATTCGTATAAAATTGATAATACCAGGTCAATATTAGCATTAGTCTTGCGTCCGCTATTACGCAACGCGCAGTTGTATTAATCAAATATTGGTAAAGTCAAAAATCGACTGCGATAGACCCGGCAACGCATCTAAAATTCGTTAATTATTAATCTGTGTAGACAGAATTCAAATAATTCATTTAATGAGAGCAGAAGATAAACTTATGCAAACGCGACATGTTTTATCACGAAAAGAAGCCGTGTATGTACAGCTGTTAAAGATAAGTCATTGAAGTCATTGTAAACGAAATGTGAATAAGTCACTCACGATATTTTAGCACACCCCATGTTTATGGCAATGACGTCAAATTGCGGACAATGTTCATAGAATTAATAGAAATGTTTACTATTCATACTAAACGAATAGCAAACGATTGCAACGGTTTTTCAATTTTGAAAACTCTAACTAAACTAATATTGTGTGTTTGAAAATATTAAATTAACGACACTGAATTCTACTTGTTTGTATCGCAAACACAAGCTTCCAGCGACCTGCAAACGCCATAAAAAGTGTCAATTGACATAATGAAATCATCGCAGTTGATATACAAGCTTTGAATTTCAAAAAATGTGCATTTTGTTGTTACGATCGCAAAGTTGTACGAATAAGCAATGTCGGCGATCGCCTTACACGCAAACTCCAGCTGGAATTCCAACTGGAATTCGTTACATCTGGTTTCGCTGTGGCACTTCCGCTTACGTAAAAATCCTCCTGCTAACTAGCTGACCCAATTTTTGGGCGTTCATGCCGTTTGCGTGTGAGCCGAACATCCGAAATGTGTCACTTGTTTTTTTTTTACAACCTTTCACATTTTTTATGCGTTGTTTTCAATTTTTAAGATATATCGCTCTTTTCCTGTCGAATGCTTGCCATAAAAGTTCACTTTCGAGATAATTTAAGAGACAAGAGGGTTTGTTACATTGCAAGCGTCGTCGGTTGTTTATAATATGTTTAAAGTCGTCCCGCCACACAACAAACACTCATCGAGGCGATTTTCTCTCTCTTTGTATACGACAGCGCAAATTTCCCCCTTGCTTACAACGCGTTCAGCCGTGAAGAGAAGAGAGTGCACGTCTCGGAAACGGTGTGCACGCGAGCAAGATCCATGTATAGCTCGTTACAAAGAGACGCGAAGAAACCCCGACTTGAACCTGGGACCGGTTCTACAGCGTGCATCGCGAGCAGCGACGCCACGGTAGAATAACATGAGAAAAAGGGCATTGTACTTTTCTACTCAATATCCCACGATTCGGCTACTAATGACGCTAATTTCGTGCATATGTTCCGAAATAACATTGTTCGCAAGACGACATGGAATGAAACCACATACCTCTTTGGTCCAAGGTCCCTTGACCAAGTCTGGATTCACTACTTTCGCCCATCGCTGCTGGCATTGAATATCCGAGCGATCAGGAAAATACTTCGAGATGATATCCCACCGTTCTCTATTTTGTTCGACGAGGTCCTTCAAGTGGGCGTCTTCTTCTTTACTCCAGCGTCCCTTGTTAATAGTTTTCTTCGGACGATGACTGTTTATCTCATCGTATAAACCCGACTCATCCGAATCTTCATTAGCGCTGTCGTCAGTGTCGACCTCGCGTTTAATGCTGTAACCAAAAAGTAAACATTAAATATTTACCCAAGTTTGATAAGTCTATAATCTTTGCTCGTGTACTCTCCAAGTTAAATTTGTACTTTTCACAAACGCACACATTGCATTAAATCAATTTAAAATTAGAAAGATACAATCACCCTTAATTTCTAAGGTTCACATGGACCCCCTCTGAGGATATTTTCCCATCGTAGAAAAACACGAGGTCCACGAGACCCACACTTTGTGCGTGCGGTGGCCCATAGCGCACACACTATCCCACCATGGGAATGCGTTTCTATTTTGATTCTATTATGCAATATGTCTTTCTAACTGGGGCGCTGCATGTGCACAATGCATATGCATGGCTCTTCTCACACTATGTCCCTCCGGTAATAAATTCTTTGATTCGTACCTGTCTTCATCTCACGCTCGGGATGTGCAAGGGGTTAGAGGTATGAGAAATTGAAATTAGGGGGATGCGCGCACTCGGTTTGACCTACTAATGTGTCGAGAGTAAACTCGATACATTTTAATTTCGATGTGAATGTGGCATGCGTAGTTAAGTATAGAAAAGGGTTTCGTCTATCATCTGAAAATAAAAGGACGCCATTGAAAAACGTAATGCAAAGCGGCGCATTGAAATGATTCGGGTCAAACATGATGCCAATATCAAATTCTTTGTGCGGACGTGGTCGTATCGATGCTATCAAAAGCCCTAAGAAAACGCAAACAAACGCACCTATGTGCGCTAGTAGCCCTTTCTTTCGTCCGCAGACGGAAACGCATTCAAGGGTGAATACAGGAAGAAGGTTCTTACTTCTACATGTCAAGCATAATTCCCATTTCCTTCCACAATGAACAAAAGAACATAAAAAATGAATTCCTTAAGATATCACCATTAATTAAGTCCAAAAATTAATTTAAACAAATCAAAAGTATAACATGAATTATATATTATTTCACTTAAAATAATGCTAAGAAATAAATTTACTGCCTTTAAAACTACCTTTGTTGATGTTTTTTTGCATTCTATGCTATGATCAGGTGCAAGAGACATCAAACCCGCATTAGAAAAAAGCAAACAAAAGTTAAAAGTTCAATACACCCTCGTGGACGCCATACAGTTAGAATATCAAACAGTTTCTCGCCCTCGCACACGTACATTATACCTTCGAATGTGCGCACCGGTGTCGTGTGCAGGTGCAAACGTCTTCAGAGAGCATCGCTCGCATTTGAACGCGTAACATACGCGAGCGCAAGACATATGCTTCGACAAGATGTCTATGGCACGCGCCAAAGTCCCTCGAACTCGCGCCAGTTTTACATTATTCCGACATTTCCTGATGCAAGACGGCGGCGATCTAACGCGCGCGCGCGCGCGCCGCGAAGAGTTACAAACGACATGTGGCGTCTTACGTCCTCGCCTTTTTTACCCCCATAGCGTAATTACCTTATCTAACATTTATTATTTATGACCACTGACAGAAGGTGAATACACAAGACAAGACAATGCACGCGCGTCGCAGTCAATACACGGGATGCAACACTTTAATGAATTTCAAAATTCAAACTGTGAACAAGCGCAAAGCAAACATCCTACATCCTCAAACTTTTGATTGGTTCCGGAATTAACAATAGAGATTTTAAGTCACTTCCGCAAATATAAAAGTTTACCAAAAGTCCCTTCTAAAGCAACGTACAACAATAAAAGTGTCCCAGGAAAATATGAGACATCTACCTCTACGGTGAGCTTTATTGGCAGACTTATGCAATACCTCCTCATATGAGCCGTGAGGGTACTCGATAATGGGGCATACCACTCGCAGAAATAAAGAATAGGTACGTGCATTGTGCGAGCGTAAGAATAAGAAAGGACGAGGAAAAATTATCGAATTTGAACAGCTGGGGCCACAGCGCGCGTTCGAATGGCACGCGACGTCTTGTCTTTTGCATCTTGCATTACGTTACGCCATCCGAGGGGAACAATTTCATTTTTATTAACATAAGTTACACACGGTGCTAGGTATTGTTACACTTTTCGAAGGAGGGTGGTGTAAGAAGTTGAAAGGAAAAACTCCGACAAATCTAAATCTAAACATCTGCTCATCGTCATCAAACATACAAAATGCATGCAATTAAACAAAATATTAATTATATTTTAGTAAATTCAAAGCAAAATCAATAACAATTTATATACAACTCTAAGGTCGGAGATTATACTGACAATGAACTTGGTAAGAAAAGACATACACTTTACATTCACTTCCTCGTTGATAGTAACAAGTAACAGTGTTCGATAGGGTGAACTAGTGAAGGAAATAGATGTAGAAATTATCGATCAAACTGTAGCGGGCAGATGGTACTGGCGTAGTCAAAGACCACCTGCCCGTGGCGTGGACACACATACACACACAAAAACATACTGTGCCCGCATCCAAGCCCCCAACTTTTATATCATTTTATACGCGTTTTCATTGCGCGGCTGATAAACACATGCGAGTGTGATGGTAATGGCACATTACGCACGCTTTGTATGCACATGTGTGTGTGTACACGCACTGCCATTAACTATTTGCATTCACGTGCAACATAATCCACCGCAGATCAAAGTGCAAGCTGGGCGACACTTGAATAGCAAATCGTTTTTGGTCTACGAGTAGGTACCATTCAATGATGATGCAAATTAGTTCCTACATATACTTGATATTCTTACGAAGCATTAGTCGATCACACATGACTGGAATTTCCATTGAACTTGAACCACAAAAATAAGCGAAAGCAAAACGTGTTTTCGTGGATTTTTGGCATTTAAAAATTTAAATCCCAGCACACAAATAAAACGGTACCTCGAAAAGAAAGTGTAGCCGCTGTATTGTGTGCATTTCAGGTACCCTCCAAAAATTCAAAATTCGGGAATCCCCTTTTCTTGCGAAATTCTTGCGTGAAGTTGTTTCTCATGGTGACAAAACCACACGAGGCAAACAATAGTTTTTCCGACTCTTAAAAAAAGAAGTCCAACCACCCCATTATCGAACGGCAGTCCTTCGGACCTCTTTCTCTTCTCACACGCACGTCAGTCAGCATGTGCGTATACGAATGACAGCTGCAACCCCATATGTGTGAACCTTGTCTAGCGCAACACACACGGAATACAGCGCATCGTGTTGCGACAAGTCGAGGCGGAGTGCCTCTCAGAGGAGAGTCACTCACTGGATGCACCACGCACACACAATGCACGCCATCCGACGCGTGGGGTTGCAGTTACACGCCAAACATCTGTACCATATACAAGCAATGGGGAGAGAAAGCAAGCCCGCGCTTTTTTCTTCACAACTAGCCATTGTATCGTGGGAGATAAAACAATGTAAAAATAACATTTTATTTGTAATTGGAATTGGACACAACTCAAGCTTCGCAATGCAGGGAAAAATTTATAAAAAAAAAAAAGATTCCCACATTTACGCACCACCACTAACAAAGAACAAACACAACATAATGAAATCGAAATTAGAATACAACCTGTTCAAGCTTGTTCTCGCTAGACGCAAACAAGACTTGTTCTTGGCCCCTGCTTATACAAAGCTTTCGAGTGGTAGAACGCAGACCGGCATCCAAGAAGAATTATCACCACGAAAAACAATTTTTTAACTTTTCGGACCGAAAGTTCGACGGGTCGGCGCCTTTTTAAGGGCGGGAATTCGAGGCACTGACTTTGTGAACAAAAATAAACATCTCGGATGACATTGAACATTTTCTCACCAGTAAATCATTTGTACCATGAATATATTTAATGTTTGATAATATAAGTTTAGTACTTGAGAAAAACAACAGCGCAGCAGGAAATGTACCAAACAAGTAATCTTAATCTAATCAAAATGCAAGTTCTGATGCAACACACCGTACAGCGAGTAGAATATTAACGTAAAGTGTAAATATAAGTAAGCAAACGAACAATCGAATGTCTAAATGTAATGATTCATCTGTATAAAGCGCGATGAAGGGCAGGTTATACGTTTGTTCTACACGTTGAAATTGTCGGTAATTGAGCCGTGCGCCGAGCGCGTTAATACACCGCGACTCGCGAGTTATATGTAAGTATTCTTGCGGTAGCGCGTAGTTATACAATTCGAAGCGAACGCACTCACGGTCGTTGATCGTTACTCACTTGTTATATGCGACGTGCTGCCGCTTGTCGGCTACATAGAATTCCATTATCCAAGTTGTGTCGCGGCCTGCGCCTCGGTGGATGATGCACGAAACCGATCACACTGCGACACGCACTGGGCAGGCGGGTAAGGTCCTACCTAACTTGCCTTGCCGACATGAACGCTACTCTCAGATCACACAACCCACATGCTGGTTTGATTACAACTGACGCAGAGCGCAAACTCAACCGCACAACTGGCGCGACCACGCGCACTCCGCTAGCGGAATGACGATGTTCGTTGACGGTCGGAGCGATTCGAGTATGTAGGGGACCTGCGCAGTAATATTTCGATCTCGCTCGCGTAGTTTCGTACAGTAGTTCAAGTTAAAAATTTAACGTGCGGACCGTTGGAAAGTTTCAAAACTGTGTACGTTACTACATTGGTTGCATGCATTAGCCAGTTCTAGTTGGCAGTGTGTGTACAAAGGGCACTACTGAATTGTATGCAATCAATTCGATCAATAAATTCGCATCATAACGCTCACTAAGCGCAGTTTATCTGTTTGTTACAGCTTGCAATTGTAATCGACATTTTTAAACCATTTAAAATGAAAAAAAAATTAAATATTTAATTTGTTAAGTAAGTTGCATAAGAAATTTTGTGCCACACCTTATAAAAACATTCAAACTTATATAAACTGATTAAAATAGATTATTAATTTAATTTTTGTACTCAAAACTATGATACATTTTTTTATTAAAAACAAATAAATAAAGAAAATGATAAATAATTTATTTTGCTTTCTTGTTGAGGTTGTTCAAGGTTATCAACGTCAAGCTTTCATTTATCAAAAGCTCTCTTTAAAAATATAACCTTAAAGTATGACACTGTCATGTTTGTCAATTTCTCTCGGGAAATTTTATAAATAAACCTTCTAAAATGTTTATCTTCTCGGTGTTTTTCATTACTACGACGTCGTAATGAGCCACAATGGCTGTATTATTTCCTCACAAACAACTAAAACAGACACTACTAAAAAAGGCTTTCAAAATATGTTCAATATATCACAGATTGTCATCAGACAAAGTGCTAACACTTGAAGTGAACAAATTTGATGTGATAGATAATTTCACATCCGACTTAATCCACCAAAAGTCGCTAAAATGGGAAGGAATCAAGTTGAGAAAGAATCATGCAACAACCTGCTCACTAGTACAACCAAAAACATTAGAAATTGCACTAAACAATATGTCACAATCAGCCATAGATAAACAATTCCTACTGTTAATCCAAGATGGTAGTGAACACAATATTGAGGAATTCATAAAAAGGTGTCAGAGATCTCTGGTATGTCCAACATTCACAAATGTGCTTACTCTCCTTGATGCCAATTCAAGAAATGCAAATATCAACATCATATTAGAATTGAAAAAATTATTCAAAGAAGACAATGACTACTATAAAACAAATGCTTATTTTGATCATTACCTAGCAGAAGCTTATTGGATAAATGGTGAGATTGTGAAAGCTGTACAGATACTTGAAGATGTCTATGAGAAAAATGCACATTTGAGAAGAAGGCTGAGATTGATGTTGAAATATTTGATCACTGATGTAACCACCCACAGTGAAGCCATTCTAGTCAGTATTATAAAGTTTGGTGAGAAATTGTACAACAGCTACAAGGATCCATTTGCATTAATTTGTGTGTGGCAGGCTTGTTTTATCAGTGAGTGGTATTCTGACCAAACATTGGCTTTACAGCTTCTTGAAAAGAACAAAGGGTTATGTGAGGCTGTGGTTGGTACTTTGCCTTATGTAGTCACAGCATCATTGAAAAATCATCAGGTCGAAGTTGTTTATAGGTTACTTGAGTTGCTCATTAAATATGAAATGAAAACGCAATATTCCGCTATTTTAGTTTCTATCTTCAACTATAAATGTAAGATATTATTTATAAATCTTGTGAGTGTTTTAATACTTTTGCGAAATTGTTTCTTGCAGTTTATATTGGGGATTTGAAAAGTTGCTCTGAAATAATTCAATGGTCTGTTACTTATAATGTTGCTTTACCTAACATTATACATGAAAGATTCCTAATGTTGTTGCTGAGGAGGAAAAACGTTGATGACATGAAACCCGATAAACCACCTGAGCCTAAGGTGGACTTGAAGTTTTAGTTGTGTACTTAGAAGTTGTATATAAATAAATAATTTGTTAGACAAGTTCTCTGATTTTTTTTTCTGAAAGTTTGGAATCGAAATAATATGCGAATACGTACATGCCAGCGCCATCTAGACGTATAACAACAAGACATATGGTAACGTGTTTTGATTCAGAAGTTCTAAAGCATTGGAAATTTATAAAAGCCTATCTTTTAATCATTTAAACAAAAAAAAATAATAAGTAAATTCTGTAGGAATGTTAATACAAATAATAATAAAATGGACTTTTGGCAGTTAGATGATAATAATTTAATGAATATGAATGTGAATAACAGTAAAATCGTCAAAAATATCAAAATTACATAAAATAAAGTCAGTTACATCTTCGAACAACTCCCGCACACCCGACGTCTAAAACTTCTTAATGATGACTGTTTCAAAAAGGGCGTCTGTCGTCTTTATAGCCCTAATGCACTTGAAGTGTGCTCATTCGTCTGAAAGGCTCTCGAATGTTAGCCGTTCAATCCTACAATTCAAAGCCAAGTTTCGCGAGCACAAAAACTTGGCTTTGAATTTACACTAAAAGCAGTTTAAACTCGCACCGATGCCAGTTTTATCAAAGTGAATCTCGAACCCAAAACAAATAACTTTTTAAGATTAATTAATTTTATTACTAAACATAATTGTTAGTTTTAAAATTAAATGAGGTCAAGTGTTATGTTTGTGAATTGTGAACATACCATTTCAAACACAACCCAACACAGCAAAAGGCCAATGAACCAAACGTTTCCCTACTATTCTTAGATGGTAACTTTGAATGCATACGAGCTCCTACTGGGCAGCAAAGAATTTGAATAAAAGGGTTGCAACCCTAAAATTTGGCGCTCCCTAAGAATACAACTCAATGCAAATGAACACATAATTACGAATTATTACAATTGACCTGCTTTCATTCATAACGATGTTGAGAGCTTTACTTGCGTTTGTTTCGGCTGTGGAAAACCATTCCAATGCGAAACATGCTATGTAATCATAACAAGGAGGAAGTACAAGATGCACATCAAAATAAAGCTTTCAGGAGGGCATAGCTATATCGGACAACATTTGACCTTTGCATCTCAGAGATTTATCAAATCTTTTTAATTTACAGTATTAAATAAACTGGATAAATTTGTGGCTATTATTGAATTATTAGCAGGATATGCACTTTCAGCTCTCTAAACCTTTGAGAAAAATACCCATAAAAAATTATTATTATTTTTGTCCTAGAAATTTTATTTGTTAGTAAAAAACTGAAGCAAATTAATATTTTTAATAAATTTACGTCAAAATACTGCATCGCAATTTTTTTGATTTTTTGACGCAATCCAGGAGATACAGAGTGCTTGATATTGTATGATTTCAATGTAGCCTGGTTCTATGTGTATTTTAATATTTAAAATACTTTATAAGGGTTTGATAAAGATAAATATAAAAATAATGCAAAAAATAAGAAAACAAAGAAGCTATTTTCAATGATTAAAAAAGGCTATTTATAGCTATTTTGAAAAACATAAAAACAACCGCAAATCCAACAGCCCAATTTGGCCAATGTTTTCGCAACATAAAAAAATACTGAAAGCCAAGACAGCTTTGAAGTAATAAACATTCTGTAGTAAATCCTAATTTATTCTACCATTACATCACTATAGGAATGTAAAAATATGTGCCCGTCAGACACACGAGCGATATTGGCAATGAATAACTTTTTTCAGATTCAAGGCTCCTGAAATAAAATTAGTTTCGACTCGTGCGCATGAAAGGAAAAGGCGAAAAATACATGTAACGCGTTCATTACACCTCAGTCAGTTGGTAACATCGTTAACAAAATGGATATTGAACAATTAGAAGAAATTTTTAAACAAGAAATATTAACATGTTATAAAAACAATGACTGGCGCGAGTTGTTGAATTTAAATCCTCAATCTAACAATAAAATCGCATACAAATTCCTCTGGGTTTGGCCAAGTGTCGATAATCTAGAGTTTATTGCCCGCAAATTAAAACAGTTTAGTAAAAAAGGTATTATTTCAATTGGTTGTGGTTGCGGTTTGTTTGAATGGATTTTACAACAGTACCTTGGATCAGGTAAAGTTATCAATATCTATTTAATAAGAAAAAGCTGGATTAATTTATAAACAAAAATTATTTATAGAATTTCCTGTGCATGGATATGAAGTGAATGAAACGTGGTGGAAAAGTCGCTATAGTAACCCACTTTTTATAACTCATCATTATCCTAGTTTTCCTATTGATTCCAAAGAATTAAAACAAGATCACATTTTGTTATTTTGCTATTTCAACGATGGCGACGCTTTTAAACATTATATTGACTCATTTACCGGTAATGTGATAATAATTATTGGTCCAGGCGATGGAAGAGGTACGCACACAAATCCAGAACCGTTTCGTCCTAGATTTGGACGAATCCAATACGACCTACATTCATATCAAGAAGTTAAAAATACCAAAGATTATATTGCTGTTTATATTAAAGTCGAATATTAAATTTAAAAATTCTTTCATGTAAATTCAGTTGCATATTCTATACACACACTTAAAAAATCGATTTTTTGCGAACCTGAACTAACCTCAACCAAAACAAGTTTTGAAACTCTTCTAACTATCAATTCTCATTAAATTTATACACCGATTTTCTATAAAATAAAATGAGGATATCTAGAATGTTAAGTGGTATAATGTACGCATATCACTTTGACAAAAATGGACAACTACTAGGTGGTAAACTTATCCAAGAAGATGAAAAGTGTCTACTGGTGAATCAAACTTCAACCAAGGTGCAAATCATTAGAAGACAACCCATTGCATGGCTGAGGTTCATAGTCATCTTCTGGAGTCCACGGGTATTGAAGGCAGCAGTTAAATTCGGCTTAGCAGCGATGATTATGAATAAATATGAAAGAATTGGATTTGCAATTATGATGCTGTGCTTTGCATTTTAAGGAAAACAAGTAAGCAACCTATAATAAATACAGATAAGTAAAGACAGAGCAAGCAGGACAATGAAATATTTTGCTGAGACTACAAACTTTCAGTCAATCTAATCTAAAAGCATTTGTTTCATGTGTAAACACCTAAATTAGGGTTGACTGAATGTAATTTATGTAAATTTTTCAACACCTGGAAGTGTGAATAATTTTCTAGTCAATTTTTAATAAGCCTTGATAAATGTGTTCATTATTATCATTTACAATGTTGATAAATGTTCAAATCCTTGTGAAACCAAATTATGTACATTGTATGATTTGAAGGCAGTAAATAATCTCAGTTTTCCATAATATTTTCTCCTCATATATTTTTATACACAAAAAATAACAAAAAGACGGTACTTTTCAAGTACGACCTATAAAGACGACGACGACGAAGATGATACCTGACACTCGACGCATTTGTTGTTTGACGAATTTGTGGAAGACGCGCAAAATCTTCACATTTCTGTTAGTAGGAAAGATTGGATCCCGTAATCGCTCAATGTTGACAGACTTAAATACTGCTTTTAAATAAATCTAGCTGTCTAGTGAACCAAGATGACTAACTGAATACATCAGTAACCAAGTTGTAGAATCCAAATCATCCTCATTTTACCTATGACTATTGACATCATACTCACAATCCATATTTACTGCACTAACCATTCAGACAAATTAAGTATAACTCCTTCAAGTTCCAATTTTTAGTGGCGGCGCAATTTTTTTTATAAAATTGATGAGTCTAGTAGAATTTTTTCGCTTGACTGTCTTTGTTATCCCTGTAATGTAAAGTATTAAAATCAAATTCAATAAATCTACTCGTAAAACCTACCTGTAGATATTGTACCCCAAGACTATTACCAAGTGTATAACAATAGTAACAAGAAATACCGTAACCGACACGCCACCACCCCCAGACGGACAATCTGGCTTCTCGTTCAGTCGTTGCAACACTAATTGCGAATGCTGCTTGACGTGATTCAGTCCATCACGCATTTCCGAAATAATCGATTGCGTGTCATACCCGACTGCTTGAACTTGTGCTGTGGGCGCTTTCGCCTGATTATTGATAATCTGATCAGCGCGCTGCTTCACCTCCAAGATAAACTGCCGCATTTCGCGCTGTGCAGCCACAATCTGATTTTGATTGTTTAGCACGGCGTTGACTTCATCCCTTCGGATGGTATCAATATATACTTGTCCTTGACCAGTGCCCTGTTGACCACCTGCAGCAGGTACCTGCACTTGTCCTCCAGCGCCTTGTGATACTAAGCTTAGAGTGCGTTCTTGCCTGCCGACAACTTCGTCCATCTTCTTGTGCAGTTCTCTTAAAACATCAAACATTTGAGATTGACCAGAGAAGATTTGACGCAGTTCACGTTGATTGTCCGATTCAAACCAGTCGTCCACTTCAGGTTCCTTCACTTCATTAGGATGCTCCTTGCGATAGTCAGCTTTCTGTTGCTCTAATTTCTTTTGGTATTCTTCGTACTCCTGCCTGAGTTTGGCTTGATCCTCGTTGGGTTGTTGTTGTTGCTGCTGTTGCTGGGAATGTAAACTGGATGTGAGGATGTGTAGCACGTCGTGATCGTCGGCAAGCCCGCCAGTGGCGGCTGACACACCGAAATAACCGCCCTTCGGGAGGAATACGTTTTCGGCGCGGAAACACATCTCGTAGTCTTGGTCATTGTTGGTCATGCCGTTGTGGAACAGCAGAGTGAGGACGTTGTTGTAGTACTCAATGCGTGCGCGTGTCGGGAAGGGCTTGTTGCGGAAATCGCGAAGGCATCCGGCGAGCATTTGATTTTGTCCATCGCTAGAATATTAAAAATAACAAATAATGTAGTAAATTAAATCAAATAATTCAATATTTGATTAAAATTTACATGTACTTTAGACTTACTTTTGATGTTCAAAATCTCTGGTACCATCATTAACCACAGCCATAATGTATGGATTATTATGTTTGTTATCATTGTCAAATGAATCAAAGAAGATACCCAAACCATTCCACCTATCTGAGCTACCAAACACATTGCCATCATAGGCACCTTTGTTTTGAGTATACCAGAAGGCCTGTAAATAAATACCGATATCAAATATGTACATAAGATAAATTTATATATGTTTACACTAAAAACATTTCAATATAGGTTGCAGAAATGATTTACTACTCACCAGGCCATCGGCGCCTATTCTTCCTCTTCCTGTAATCCTAAAGGACAAATCAACATCCCAGTAATCAAAATTAATAGGATTCTTGGTCCATATTGCGCCTTTCTGACTTCTTAATGAAGGTGCTATCCGAACATTTTCAGCGCTTGCAATAGCATCTAAGCAACAAAACAAAACACAATCAATATCATCTAGCATATTGCCCTAAGCCTTAATTTTAAATCTAAGCGGACAATAAGTTAAAGTCCATACATAATTCTTAGTTAATTTCAAAAACATCTGTGATTCGATTACGTTTATTGCATGATGAGACGTGTCCAAGTTTCAATATCACGCGGCAAGCAGGACGTACGTCGCACAATGCGCGCGACTTACGCAATGCGTTGGAAAAGGACACGTCAGAATTGTTGTTGTCGGTGATTGAAGCGACCGAGGTATCTACGTGTACGTGCGAGATTGTCTACTTACTGCCGCCGTATTCCCAAAACGGCACCGAGCCGTCTTTTTGCGCTAAGTACGGTGGTTTAAAAGAGTACTTGTACTCGAAGCGTCTATGGAGCAAATTCGTATTCACTAGCGTTAAGAAACTGACGGCGATCAGGGCAAAAATCGCCAAGTTTGTGTGTCCAATGTCCGGAAAAAGAGCCATAGTCGCAGTAGGCCAGCTCCAACAATCACATCCACTCGCCAACAGATACACGACACGACTAAACGCGCTAACCCCACTTTCGTGCGTGACAGTCGCTGACTACGTTGGAATTTTGATATTTTTTTCCAAACTCCACGAGTGCAAAATAAGCCAATTTATTATTTGCACGAAATGCATTTGTAGTAATAAATATAGTATATTAGGGAACAAAGGCAAAACTTAAGCGGTATATATTTCTGGAACAAATTTATGAAAAAGTTTATTAAAGTTTATTACAATTAACTATAGTTTTATTCAGAGGGTGATTATTACAGATAAGTGAAATGAAAATGCTTGTAACCTTCACATTTCATTCATTTCACTTATATCTTAATTTAAAATTATGATAATTACCGTATAATGAACAAATATTAGAAATTCAAAATAATATTGTTAAATATTGTTTGTTATATCATCGTATGCTTCCCAGAGTACACAAACTTTAAGTACCTGCCACTGCTTGCCAATGAAAAATCTATCGCAAATATTCATACGAAGTGTATCGTTGCATGACTCCGTACGCATACGTAATGAATAATATAATTTTTCTATTTCCACCCTTTGCTAGACACAAAAAGTGACAGTTTAAACACGGACGCCCAAGTCCTTTAAATGCGCACGGCACGGTCCTCACTAATTACTAATAATATAATAATACTATTAATAATATATTAAAATCTCGTTAACCGCGCTTTGTGCTGTTTTATTTCAGGGGTAAACGTTGGTAAAGTGCATTGGTAAGTGACGCGGATTCGTCGCGTACTAAGAGTGCTTGATGTAACAATGCATGACAAGAAGCCATTGCATCAAAGATGTTGAGACTAATGATTCATATACTTATCGCGCTCTTTTTCTAACTAATTGCGGGACATGGCAACGAATGAACAAGCGCGTCTACAAAAAAAAAATGATAAAACTAAATCTCGATTTTCACTTCGTCAGCACGCTAATATCCTTTTTTATAAATTTTGTTTACAATCAATTCATATATTTTTCGTCATCGCCGAAGTTTACTACCCTCGCGCACCGAAACTAACAAGTGAATGTCCTTAATTTAGTTGAGACTCAAAAAAATGAAAAGAAGATTAAAGATGAATTACCTAATAAAAGATTTACACTCGTTTGTATCCAATTATCGAAAGAAGCGTGCGTGCGTGCCAAGCAATTAAAACCACTTTCATCCCAATCGAATCAACTTCATAATTAAGCATTTAAATTGCGTAATTAAATCACGATTTATAGATAGCGTAGGTGTGCGTGTCGAGTCCCCCAAATCACACAAAATATCCAATAACCTTGCTCTTTGCCGGTGGTACAACAATTGACCTACACGAAAGTAACTTTTCAAAAACGGTCAAATCTCGCACACATCGAAAATTCAAATAGTAATCTAATCAACAGATCAATAAACTCCGCACAACACCTGGGATCGCAATGAAATAAAATAAAAGAAACGAATCAAAGTAAATTAAACGCTCACGAGTATTTCTCGACTTGATAGGTCAGCGCCAAAGCTGGGGGAGAACGGCGTTAGTTATTGACCCAGTTTCGACCAATTCGTTAATCTTATTTCTTTCGTTTTCATTTGGCGATCATGTTTACTTGCTGATTTTGCTCATTAGATGCTTGGCAGATTGTTACGCGCACCGATAGTGACAAGACGCATTGCACTTTCCGACATGTTACTCAAAGAACTCATTGTTTTAACAAGTTAAGTGTCATGTTCACCGAGAGCGCAACTTTTAACTTTTTTTTTTAATTTTCAGTTATTTGGACGTTTGGAAAATGTGGCCACTACATAATTCCAGGAGCGATGCCTTACGATGGTTATCATGATTTACATCTACCACATGATCCACCATTGTATCCAACTTTGTGGAAAGTACCACAGACGAAGTTTACATGTGACGGTAAAATCAATGGATATTACGCCGACGTTGATGCTGCTTGCCAGGCAAGTATTTGTAAAATTAAATCAAAAACAAGTGATAATAAGTATGAATTTTGATAGGCATATCATTTATGTGAGCCTAATCATAGAGCTTCGTTTCTCTGCACCAATGGCACACTATTCAACGAGCAATTTCAAGTGTGTGATCAATTCTACAACGTGAGATGCGGCTCACCATACATTGACTTGTAAAATTGACTACATGTATAATAATTTATTTAATATTTATTAAAGTGAAGCTTGGTGAAGAAAATCACAACAATTGTTTGCAAACTTTTAATCAATTGAAACACACAATATAAAATGTTCCTACCTTAACGCCTGTCATTTGAACCAATACCACGTTTGCCGGAATACAAATGTTTCGGCATTTTCGTACCGATGAACCTGTCAGCCTCGCCTTTCATACCCATTTTACCAACCTTCTTCGCAATAGCACGATGTGCAATCTTAGCCAGTTTCTTTTGCATAGCAGCATCTTTAACGCCCAATTGATTCCTTGGAGTTCTTGAAACACTCCTGTTCTTATTCTCCGACGCGGCTTCCAACATATCAGTGCGTATCTTTTTAGCCACTGGTCCCAAAGCACGACTCTTACCTTTGGTCTTAGTGAAGTGAGCATCGTTGGTTTCAGACATGTCCACACCAAGAGTCTCCATTTCAGATCGCAGACGTGATACAGACCGATCGCGACCTTTCGCAGCTGTTGTGCGTGGCATTGTCGGCTTCTTGCACTGCTTGTTGACCCTGGCCTCGTCCTTCATGATCGCCTTCTTGTTCCGGATCTGTAGCGCCAGCGCCTTGATTTCCTTCATAGTATCGTCGAGTTCGATCTTCGGCACAACGTACATACCAGACTCTTCTCGAGCATCCTCTTCACGTTCCAATTCGGCGAGTTTTTCGAAAATGTCCGGATCGATGTAATCAGCAACATTGTGACCCTCCCAGATTTCTGGGATAATATCATAACGTTCCTCTTCTGGGATGTCAGTGTAGTGTTTCTTGAGATCCAAAACATAATCATCACCTTGCTCTTCTTCGATATCTCTCTCAAGCTTGCGTTTGCGTTTTTCACCAGCAACTTGTCTCTTTGCAAGTACACTCTCTGGAATACAAGGAACTCGTTCTTTTCCATCGCGTGGTTTGGGTACGGCGACGTGTAATCTGTTCAAAACACCATCAACCTTTTTGGTGCGCATTTTCTGTTCAATTCTATAACTCAACAGACGTTCACATGCCTCGGTTTTTACTTCCATGACGCCCTCTTCATTCAAATTCGACATTTGTAGAAGAGTAAGTTCGGTATCATCTTCGATAGGTTTCATACACGCGCGTTTTTCAGGTGTCAGATCGTCCAAAGACACGATATCAATTTTATTCGCCACAATCAAAAGCGGTTTGTTTGTGAAGAGTGGTTTGATGGATTCAAAGAGCTTGACTTGCTCATCAACAGTATGTCCGCATTGTTCTGACAAATCCATGAAATACAAGACGCATGCACGCAAATGAGCCAGGGCAGTAACAGCTTGCATTTCGATAACATTGCGCTCCTCAAGAGAATGGTCCAAAATTCCAGGAGTGTCAATTACTTGCCAGCGCAGATATTTGTAATCGGTGTGACCGACGTACAAAGATTTGGTTGTGAATGCATATGGCTGGACTTCAACATCAGCTCTTGTAATTTTGTTAATGAAAGATGATTTTCCAACATTTGGGAATCCTAAATATATAAAAATTTAATAATAATTAAATAATTTTTACAATTTATACATACCACAAATAATAATAGTTCTTGTGTATGGATCAATAGAAGGCAACCTGGCTAAATGTTGTCTGACCTGTTCCAAATAAGTCAAATTAGAGCCTTGTCTCTTCATAATTGTGGCCATTCTACCCAGGGCAGCCCTCTTCAATTGTTTGCATCTGTATAATGAGTCTCCATACTTCATCAATCTCACATAATCCTTAGAAACACTAAAATATTTAACATTCATTAATAATATAAAATTTCCTAATATGATGCAATAAGTACTTGTCAATTAAATGTCTTGCAGTATTAATTTGACCCAAAGCCAATTTATAATGGTCCTTATCATACAATACATTCATCAAGTCAGCATAGAATGGATGCACATCATCCAACTTTGGGAATTCAGTGAGAATCTGTGACAGACGATCATGGAAACTTTGCTGTGTATATTTGACCTTGCGCAAATAAAACGATCTTATTCTCGTGATTTTGTATTGTTTATGGACGACTGTAGGTGTTTTGCGTTGAGTTTTTGATAATATAATATCAATAAAGTCCTAAAAATCAAAATAATTAGTAACATGGAAGTTTTCAAGCAAATTTGAATTTGTTGGTTATATTGTTATTTTGAGTAAGAAAGCAGTTTAAACTGCATAGTTACCTTTGATGTTGGGACAACAGCAATCTTCTTAAAGTTGTACTGCGACATGGTGGTGTAATGTTGGCGTACTGGGGTTATAAATTAAATTAATTGAATATTATTTTCCACACGTGCCCAGATTGAACTGGATTCATACACGTGGGAATGGGAAAGGAACGTTCTCAAAGAGGCCGGTTGGAGGCAGCACTGCTGATGCAAGCAAGCAGTATTATTTTTGAAAAACGAATAATTTAGAAATATAAACAGTGTTTCATTATAAATCCGTATTTTTATGTAGTTTAATTGATATTTATTCCAAACTTCTGCTATTTAATCATTTAATTTATAGTTTGTCTGCAATATAAAATAGATTTAATTAACTAATAATTGTTAATTATCAATATTATAAACCCTGTACCATGTTTAAATTAAATGAATATTTAATTATTGAATACGTATAAGAAAAAGATGCCATTTTTAATTGGATGTTGCTTTATTGTTGCAGCAAAAATGTTTAAACTAAATCGAACGAACCGACGAGTCTACAACAATTTATTAGCGTCCATGCTTTAACTTGTAATAAAAATAGAAGCGGCGGTCGGATGCCGCTTAAGATTGCAAATAATTTACAGCCAATAAAAGCGGGATTTTGCAGGCGCGGTGGCGTTAGGCCATCGTCGGGCGCACGACGTGGGGAATGGATAAAGCAACAAAATTAACTGATCTCGGCGATTTATTTGGCGGCCGTAAATAACAGTCAATAAGTCTGTATACATTTTCGCTGCCTTCGCGTGTAGCTGCAGCTTTGTCGTAGCTCTTGTTCGGAGCCACGCCGAAATTGCAAAAGAGACACAATCAATTTTCGCCACATTGTACACACGTTCATTTTTCGCCTACTTCAAGACAACCTGGTTTGGGTTATATGCTCTTATTGTTATGTTTCTTTAAGTTTTAGGTGCGGCGATGATTTTTTTTCTTATTCAAAAATTTAAAAATTCTGCGCTTTTTCTGCACTTTTTCAGTTGGAAGGGACCAAAATTTGATGCTTTCCATAGAAACTACATTTTTGTAGATCAGCTTACATCGCAACTGAAGTTAATTTTGAAAAATAGTACATTTTTCAACTAAATTAAAATGAGTAATACCACAGTCTCAAAAATACAAATTAAAAGAACAAAATAATCATGTTTAGTGCTGGTACTGATAAAAAATGAAATTATTTCTAGTAAAATTGAAAAAACAGTTAAAAACCTCTTAAAATTATACAGTAGGTATTTTACCACCCTATTAGCTTTATCCCCAAATCACCAAAAATACAATTGCTAAGTAAACTAATTCAGTCCTTTACAAAGGTTTTGTAAACGATACGCTGACACTTCTAATCCGTTTGCTCACCCTGCTGGCGCAAGCAACAACGCTGCACCTACCCTCCCGAATGCTGGAGTCATTTAGTATACTCTATATTAGATAAAGCGAAGAAGCATCCACCCTAGCTGTATTTTCCACCAAGGCTGCGCAAAGTGTTAATCCTATCAGATCCGCCAACCACCTGCTCACTGCCTGGCAGCAATCAGCGCGACTTTTTTCGATTGCGCACCAGCGCAAATTGTTCGCGCACGTCGACGCCCGGGGAATGAATGAAGTGTTAACACACGCGCGCGCGGCACAACCAACACCTATTTATAAAACAATTATGTGCGGGGTCGAGGGTGGCGAGATGGAGGGCGCAGCGATAAAATGGAACGATCAAAATGTAGCAGCATTCGATTCGAATAAAATTAGAACATACGGTCGGAAATTTATTTGGCTTTTATGTATTTTTTTGAGGAGAGGATTTGAAATTGATTGAAAGGGGGGCACAAGTGATATACCTAAGTGTGATAAATCATTTTTTATATTTAATTGTCGGATGGTGGATGGTTCAAATGTTTGGATAGAGATGTATCATTATGACAAGTGGAAAAGTGGGTGAAATTTGGTTTATCATTAATCATTATGCAGGCATTATCCTAGTATTTTTGTATTAAAGTATTCTAATGAGTAATAGCCGATTAAAAAGGTTTTAAATTGATATTTCAATCAATTATTTTATTTTATTTTATTAAACATATTTATCCATTAAAACCAATGGATTAACGTCAATAAACAATTTAAAATTAATTTTTTCAAGTAGAATTATCAATAAATAAGAAATAAAGTGCTGGCTGATTATTAAAATGCAATATTTAGACCAATTTTAAAATTATTTCAGTTTATCAAATCCCGAAAATCAAGAAAAATGCAGAAAAATTGTGTTTTTCTTGATAAAGTAGTAAATATAACAAATTTCAACCAGTTTCTATTGTAAAATTATAAATAAAAGAACATTTAATATATAAAATACACCTTGTATCACAATAATACCAAAATATACCAACATTTAATCAAACACAAATAAGTATTTTTGATAGAAAAGGTTTTATCACATTATCCTACTAATTTGCGAATCTAAAATACAGAAATCATGCAAAAATTAAAACCTTTAACTGTGTTTTAACCGAATCAAACACGAACGCAAAGCCACGTTGGAAGTTTTTATTACATTATTTGTACATGATACGTCCGTGTGCAATCGTAAAGTGCGCGAAATCCGCAGCGCAAAATCCACGACTTCGCGCATTGAAAATTTCCCGTCAGTAAGTTGGAGTAATAAAGGTTAATTACATCTCGCTCATCTATTTTTCCTCGGCGTGTTTAATTAAATTTCAGGCAGCGCAGCGGCGCGATTTCCACGGCTGGAAATTTACTATAATCTCGTCATTTCGCCTCCCTCACTCTCTCTATCTAGCCAGTAGGTAATATTACACGCCATACCAAAAACATCCCCCTTGAATAGTTCGCGCTTGCTTTGTTATTCATGTGTGTGCGTGTGATGCCTGTTTAGGGCCGTATGCATTTAATACGAGTCGACATGTAATAACAACGGCATAAAGACTCCACCAGGCGAATATGCCCCGTATGCATGCGGTGGATAAAGGAACGAGGGTGGAGTTTGCGATCACCGCCGCCGTTACCGCAGCCAACCAAACGCGGTGATAAAGTGCGCGCACTCCACCTACTTTTAAAGATCTGGCCGGGCGGAGCACGCGCGCCCCCCGCAGCCGTCAGGGGTGGCTGCTGGCCGACCGGGGAAAAGCTCTTTTTGCGGAATGATAGGGCACAGCGGCGGCGAGCCGCGGCGACGAGATCCTGCGGAAAAATTTTTAACGCCATTCACATTTGGGAGTTCGTTCAGTGATCACAGCCATCGACTGTGTTTTAGTGCTACTTATCGCCTTTTTTAAACTATAACCACCACGGTGATCAGTGTGTGAAGCACGTGTGTGAAACAATGGAGAACTTTAAATTGTATCATCAAGCTACTCAGGAACAAAAGAATCAGATGATGTTGGACGTCAATGTTTTACCAGGACATTATGGATTGCATCAGTCGCGGCAAGCCAGTCCTCCACAATCACCAAATACTACAACACAACAATATATCAAAGGTAATTAGTGCATAATTCATTCAATTTAATAACAAACACATCAATAAATTGAGGTAGACATAGAACTTTGGTTTCCGTCGGTTGAACCACTTCATTGTAATTAAAACTCTTAGTTTTTTACGTTTTTTCTTACATTTCAAGCTCGTAATTCGAAAATAGAGCTGTTAATGCATCTCTAATTGGACTATAATGTATAAGGAAGTATATTTACGCGTCGCGACAACTCGTCTCAAAACAAACCGCCGTCGACAAACCCTTAAGTCTTCCGGATCTTATATTACACAGAGTCTAAAGTAAATTTTACCATTAAACATCTTTTTTAGCTCTTAAAATGGCATAAAAAACACTCAGTATATTTGCATCTTGTAGTTAAACTCAAGAGGTCTATTAGATCTGGAGACATGTCTCGGGATGCACTACAACTAGTGACTTTTAAGTGTTTTATAATTGTCTTAATTTCGGGTGGCGTCAATGTTTGCATTGGCGGAGACATCACTAGTAGCGCGCGACGGCCGCATGTTAACAACCCTCTTAGGGGTAGTACCGCAGTAGTAGTTCCGCCGACAGGAACTACTTAAAACACACACGGAACATTACATTTGCGGTTAAAGTGCTTCTGCAACACATAAACATATTATTAATGCATTTAGCAGTTGGCTAGAGTCTTAGAAATATTTATTTGTTTATTTAGATTGTCATAGTCCGTCGTCACCTGACTCAAAATTAAATTCATCATCGTCAAGCATGCAGAATGATCCAAACATCAGAAGATATCGTACTGCGTTTACAAGAGATCAACTGGGACGATTGGAGAAAGAATTTTATAAAGAAAATTATGTTTCAAGACCGCGCAGATGTGAATTGGCAGCACAGTTGAATCTTCCAGAAAGCACAATTAAAGTAAGTCAAAAGTATATTTTGTTTGTAATTTATTCAAGTAATTACGTCTTTCAATTTTTTAAAGTCTGTATTGTTAGATAAAATATGCCACAATAAAATAAAATTGTAACAAAACACAGATTTTAAGAAATAGAAATTAATAAGTATTTAAAAAATATATTATAGGTGTAATTTCCAATGCTTTGACTGTCCGTATTAAAAGCGAACATATGATTTTTATTTTTATTTTTATTGTGTCCAGGTGTGGTTCCAAAACCGTCGCATGAAAGACAAACGTCAACGCATGGCAATTGCGTGGCCATACGCCGCAGTCTACACAGATCCAGCTTTCGCCGCCTCGTTGCTCCAAGCGGCGGCATCAACACTCCCATTGCATTATCCGCCGCCACCACCAGTGTATCCGCACCACTATGCGCGTTACCACCCGTATCAACCGTTCTCCAGTATTCCGACACACCCGCCGTTGCCCAACCCATCGATGCTCAACCCGGCCACGGCGATGATGTCGAACAATCAGTCGCTCAATCTCAACCTCGGCGGGTTAGACTTCCAGAACTATCCAGGCAAATTTGACATGGCTAACTCAACGCCATCAACTACAACAGGCGCTACAAACAAAGTGATGAACTCGCCAATCAGTCCCGGCAACAGTGACATCAGTCTTAGTCCTGCTCCAGAGAATAGCACACAAGGTTTACTTATACCTGCAAAATTATCCCCGCAGACGACAACACTTCATCAACCGCAAGAGAAACCAAAACTTTTTAAACCGTACAAATCAGAATCTTAAGATTTGATGGTTTTAAACATTTTAAATGCAAAACAATTTACTGTGTTTCTAACAAGTGCATACTTATTTATATTTATAGTTTTTTTTTTATTTGTGGCGTAGTGAACACTGATTTAAAAGTTGAGTAAGTTAGTAAAGTGTAAAGTTATACCATAAAAAAGGTGAAAATGTTGGAATTGTAACCACCACACTCACACTGTATATTAATTGTACAACCTTAGGAATTTTAATGATAATAAGCTAATAAGGATTTAAATACACTACATATTTATTAATTATTATTGATTCATTTAGTATTACACGACGAAGATGTGTGTATAATGTAATAATATTGGTTTATTTTATGCAATTCAATGTAAAAATGAAGAATGTGCAATATGTACTTATAAATGATTAATTAATTAAACAGAAATTATAATTGCACACGAAATGCCATACTTTTTGTATTCCAAAATATTAAATCCATTTTCCTTCAATTTTACATTTTTGCTCAATTAATTTGATGTTTCTTTTTATTTTTATAGAATATCAAATTCTTGCCTGAAATTTCAATGAAAAGTAGCCTAAATAATGACTTTTTGGGTCTTGGGTTAATTATGTGCCAAATCCGTCAATAAAATTCTCAAAATTCTCTTAGAAAAATAATAAATACTTATAATATACCTATATTAGTATTTAGATTAGATTCAAATTAAATATATAGCGATAACTATGATTGAAATTTTATATCAAACTTTTTCTCTAATTAATTCGAAGCAAAATGTATTAGTTAGGAAATTGATGTTTGAGTTCTGAATTTCAAAAGTCCAATATTTGTCAATAATTTAATTACTAAGGAGTCTATCTTAGAATGTTAAATTTAAAGTTCCTGTTAAATTTATTAAGTAAATAACGTGCGTTTCCTTATCTGGAGTTGGGCCACTTTCAAAATTAGATTCAAAAATTTAAGATGTTTCATAAAAAAATATTCTTTCTTTCTTCTTCACTTAACTGCAAATTCCGTTTTATCTTTCGCACTTTTTGGATATACATCCTATATTTTTTTAATTAGTATTGGTCTTCTTCGATTAGATTCAAACAGGTTAAAACGCAATTGTCCCATATAGCGATAACTATGATTGAAATTTTATATCAAACTTTTTCTCTAATTTTACACTCTGCAAGGTTATAATTCGAAGCAAAATGTAGCCTATTAGTTAGGAAATTGATGTTTGAGTTCTGAATTTCTGATTTCCGTTGATAAGTTCAGTATCAATATTTATTTCTGAATGCAATTTCTATTTCATACGAAAAAACAGTTTGTATAAGAAAATAAAATTGTTATCTTTTCTATTTTCTCGCAATTTTTCTAATTTTTTTACTTTTTGAACCTTGCTTAGACATCTAAAAATATTTTAAAGCCAAAATTAAACAAATCTGCCATATAATCTGCCAAATGTATTCATATAAATACTCGTAAGTACCTATAGATTAAGTTTTTTGTTATTCCGTTGCTGTAAACTAATTTTATACATTAGATTTACGCATATCGAAGTATATCAAAGTCCGCATTTAGTTTTAGAATAAAATATAAAAAATCAGACTCTAATTTCTTCAAAAACAGAATTAAACATAATAAAATTATCCTCGAGTGTAATTGAATGAATACAAGAACATGCCAGCAATCAATTAAATTCAATCAAAACAGTTTTGTCAATGTCCTCCCTAATCCTTTTATCAGCGCGTGTTTACGCGATACGCGCGCATAAACATGCCAACAAACATTTAGCCACTTGATGGCAAATAGCAGCCACCCATGCGTGCAGCAAGCGCAGTAATAAGTCAGCTCGAAAATGAGATTAACCCCGAAATCGTTTAATCCCTTTTTTATATGCGTTCCATACACACTTGCCACCCCTTTTATTTCGACACAATGCAGCAACATAACGCCCTCGACAATAGGACAACATTGCGTGACAATATGTTGCCTTTGTATATGTAAACACACTCAATTCGCCCCTTTCGCAACGCAAAAATAAAAAATAAATGTTTTTATGATATTTTATTTTAAATTGGATTCGTCGTAGAGCAAGGGGATCATTTCGGAGTCAATCCTTGTTTGGGTCCGTTGTTATCACCATTAAACAACGATAAAACAGATGTTTGTATATTAAACCTTATATACAGAGATGCTCTACGCACCATCAGTAATAGTCTAATGGCAGTAGAGGAGATAGACGAATGTGAAAGATAAATTGTGCGCTTGCTGTTATCATATTGTAGTCTAGCAGTGGAAAATTGAGCAATTGATGTTGGGGGAGTGGTGAATCAGTGTATGAAAACATGAGACGCGCGACTATCTATTTTCGGCTAAATAGACATCTACAACGTACAGAAGGGCAAATTGTTTCGGTGGATTATACCAGCAAGATCACCGATTTATATCGATATTATATAGGGCGATTGACTAGGGGAGTCTTATTGTGATTGTATTAATTCGTCAAGTCGAATCATTAGATTCGATGCGCAAATTATATTGTCGTATATTGTTCGATAATTCATTATCAGCGTGTCGATTTATGCACAAAAAGAGGAAAAGATAAGTGAATCGGTGTCATTATCATATCTATGTGAAAATTGTGATTCCCATAATTTAAGTAAAAAAGAAAAATTGAAGAATGAAGAATATTTGGTGCTGCACCGTAGGCAAATGCGCATGTGTAAGCTCCGCCTGGTAGATAATGCCCGTAGATAATGTATGTTACTCACGGCTTGGCCGTATATAAAGTACCACTTTTTGTGTCTAAAAACCGTGGAAAACTGGCGCTTTATAGGTGGAAGAAGAAAAATTATTGTATTTAACAGGTTAGGTTTCATCCCATTTCGTTTGATTTATTCAAAATTGACGTCACAAGCTATATCAAGCATAGGTTTAAAAATTATAAAGTAAAATGTAATTTTTCACTCAACAAACACAACAATTTCTGTAAAATTATCTTATTCCTAGGAAATAATATATTTTCAGGTTGTTTTTCCAAAACAGCTGTTTTAAATCTACTCCAAACAAAGATTTTGGAAATGAAACTATTTTCTACCATTTTATAGACTTAGTTCTTCGTTTCTGTTCAGCAATAACTAAATAATTCATAAAACAATAAAGTGCGGAGATAATGAGCGAAATAAACACTCAAATTTCCGCCCTAAAGCCAAATCGCATAAAACCCGCATCGAAACGACTCAAATCCGGCCCGAAACCAAACCAACCAAGCAATTACACAAGTTCACTGTGCAAAACTCATACACAAACACAAAGCAACAAAAAAAAAAGAACACAAGCCACTGATAGTTGCTGAACACAGTCCACTGCGCCAACGATGCGACGAAGTATTATACGATCTGCTCATTCTCTAACGGACATTGCATATTAATAACCTACGCGAGATATGTGCGGGTCTGTGGATGCGCCGCGTCGACGATATCGGGCGAATATTTATGCAATGAATCCGCGCAGAACGAGCCAGCCTCGCTATCATGGCTGATAATGGAGCCGGAGCATTTTTATCGCTACGGCCGTCACTCCTGCGCGTCCTGCGAGTCCTGCGGATACGCGGCGACGTGCTCGGATTGGTCGCCGACGCGCAGCGGCGTTCGAATGCCCGACGCGCACACAATCGTTATACATCGCTGAACGCCGAACTGGAGCTTTAATATTAAAGCTCGCCGAGATAAATACAAGCGGCGGCGATAAAATAACGAAAATACGCCAAGGATTTTTCGGATTTTTATGGTCTTTTAGTGAGATTCCTTCTTAGCGCTTTTATTTATTGATGTGCGTAATAAAATTGAATTTGCCTTTTTTCATACAGCAAAATAAATCTGGGCGCATTTTAGAATATTATTATACATACCTACTATAAATATCTTATTTATTCAATAATTGTTTACAGATTACTAAAATAATCAAATATGCCTATAGATAAAACCACGAAGGTAAAACTGATACTAATATTAATTTTTAAGGTTTGTATAATAAGTTGCCTACATTAACAAAGAACTACAATTCACAAAAGTGAAGTTTTCATTGTCCAAAATTGCTCAAACGGACCCAAATCTGTGTTGCCAAAATAGAATCTAATTATTTATAACAATATCTATCACATAAAGCTATTTTTTAACATTTTGGAATTAAAAGAAAGCAAAAATTTAAATTCTAGACATCTGACCATGTGAATTGCATTTGATTTATTGGTTAGTTCTGGATAAACTTATTAATATACTAAAAATATTCATTATAATGTTTATGAAGAAGGTAAATCTTTTTGGCGCATCTACGCCACGAGATAATTTTGTTTTCCGCTATTCCACGCACACAACACGCTTGACTCTTGGCTGATGCAGCACGAATTCATATCGGAAAAACTTTTTATCACTTTTCCTCTTCATCATCCGCGTTTATATTTTTTGTCAGTGCTGTGCGACAATGCGCGAGCGCGCACCGCGAAGAAAAAGCTGAACAAAGCTCGCAGAGCGAGAAAAATTGCTACATCAAGCTAGTAGCCCGCCGGAGAGAGTTCGCTGCGCGCTTGTGTTTAAATATTAACTACGTTTCCACACTGAGTGTTTTAAAATATTCCAAAATTACACACACAAAAATGTAAACAGAAGATAAAGAAGTGAGTTTAGAGCACTTTGTATGCGGTTCCCGACGTTTTCCATTATGCTCCGCGCTGCGTGCCTTTCCCCCCGGTGCTGCTGGCGCTCGGAGGCGGCGAAACGGTTTCTCTCCATCTTTCCCCATCGTCTGCCCTCCTCCCACCTTCGCCCGCCGCTGCCGCCTGGCAGCAGCCAGCGTTTATATGCATGTAATCTACTTCGTGAAATAAATAGCCGTTATAAATTTGCCGACGGCGAGAGAAAACTGACGAGGGAAAGCCGGGCGAAGCGACGCGGGAGGATAAAGAAAGCGAGTCACTGTTCTCGCACGAGTTTTTACTGCACAGCGGGGGCGGCGCGGCGCGCACACCGAAAAACACCATTTTGTGCGCACCCAGCAAAGCACAGCCCCCAGAACAGCAACTTGTATTATTAACAAGTTTAATATTTTTATATTTCAGTGAATATTGGTTCAATCAGTGCCAATATAATTTTCCCATATATTTAACATTATTCAGAAAATACTTTTGGTTTATTACGGTATTGTTAAGATGAGAAAATATTATTTGCATTACTTTCAAATGCTAGAACTATTTTATATCGAACTAGCTTTTGTCCGCGACTACGTTCCGGTAGTGTTAAATAAATAATTCGTTTTTACCCTTTT